GGGGGATCTTTGTTGTTGTTTCTTCCTATGAAAAAAGACCAGCACGGCGCGCGAGGGGGTGTAGTAGTAGTTGGCCAACACACCACGCCCGGCCGCCTTTGTCTCCCCAGTGCTGATTTGTTACACCCCACATAAAGTACTCGTGTGTGTGTGTGTTTTTGTTTAAGGCCGAAACGACTTAGAGGAGGCCCAAGACCGCTTTTAAATAATCGTCGTTGGTGTTGAGCCGTGGGCGGGAATTGGAACCTCGGGTCGCCGGGTTCGTAGTAGTGCAAGTGAAGCGCGCTAACCACTGCGCCACCGCTCCCCGCAAGGACACAACACCTACAATCAATTGTAGATTTGAAGCTTTCGTGACTGCAAGGATTCATACTCTTAGGTTTTTTCGGTAAAGTCACGTAGGTTAAGCATATAAATAAATAATAAAAAATACAATTTTTAAAAATAATAGAAATTATTATTTTATTTCTATTTTTTTTCTTTTTTACCTACGTGACTTTACCGAAAAAACCTAAGAGTACCTACAATCAACTTCACGCGAACTCGGCATTCCCATCGCGTTCGGCTCTCGGTGATCGTGGCGAGCCATGTAAAGTAGTTGTGCTCTTCGCTCGTTATTATTCTTGTCAGTTAACGACCACGATGTCAATTGTAACTAACGTCGGTATTGCTGGCAGCTAAAGTGCATGTAAACACTTTACTTATTGTTCTTTCACCCTCTGTGGCTTTTTGTTATATTTGTTGTGCAAGTAACGTCTTCGTCTTGTGATGAGATCAAGGCAACGGGCCGCGTGGGAAGGGGTTCTTTTCTTCTGCGTGTGGGGAAATATTGTGGTCCCAAAGTGAGATATCCGCCACCAGGTGTCTCTATCGCGGTGGCTCGGAGATGTTGACTCCCTCGCCAGGTATGCAGGAGTGCGTGGGTTCGATCCCGACCCTGACGACCTGCTGTATATTTGTAGTTTGCGTCCCCCCCCCCCCCCCCCCCCCGTGGTTGCATGGATTTTTCGCCGGTTATTCCCTCCACATTTAGAATCAACGTCACGCGTTTTAAAGAGTTATTTGGCTGCGATACATTGCCACGCGCCGAGCCACTTCGTTGGCCTATCATTTGTGGACAGGTCGCTTCGGGGAGAGAAAAAATATCTAGCTATCTTAGCTTAGTTGGGGGCCTTACCTGGTAAAATAAATAAACAAAGTTGTATTCCAAATAATTCCTGCAGTTACGAAAGCTCCAAATCAAGTTTTTCATATCTGTGGTTTGGCAATGGCGTTTAGATTGAGCTACACGTATTAGCACGGATAAGACACGCACGCACGCACTCCTGTCCCTTGGGTGTAAAAGCAACAAGTTTTGCCTGGAGGGAGCTGTGTGTGTGCGCGCGTTATGTTCCGTGCCTGCTCTACTCGGGGGGTTATACAAATATGATGGTGGCCCCTAAAGCTGGCCTTGTGGTCAGGAGGTTGTAAGCAATTCCAGCCGTCTCGAGTCGTGGGAACAGAACGCGGGTTTCGTGACGTTTCGACTCGTCAAATAAAAAGACGTGAGCGGCCTCATGCCAGGCCACGTCAGCCCCCCCCCCTCCTGCAGCACCTCCAATTGGCTCCGTACGGTGCGAAAGAAGTTCTCACATGTACCAGGTGTGTGTACATCTTATTGGAACGACACCCACAATCTTCCCCGCGTACAAAATTGTCTCTATTTAACGATGCTATCACCAGCGCACACTTTGGTTATATTGTTTTTTTCTTCCTATTTCGCTTCCTTCCCTCCCACTGTTTGGAACTGACAACAGTAGGTATATATTTAATGATTTGTTAATTTATGAAATCGTATACATTAGGTATGATCACAATAATAAGTGCATTACTGCTCTATTTTAAAATGTACCGTCATGTTAAGGTTCACGTGATAACGAGCATTTGCATCTGCGTGTGTATAAGCAGTTCTTGTAAGGCTTTCACATTTTTTTTTGCATATGCAAATTGACAATACTGTATCTCATGTGATAAACACCTCCGCCTGTATTTACACTGTTCATACAAAAAAGTTGTACAGTTGCCTTGCTGTAAGATTGTACTATCCTGTGTGACTACAGTAAACTAAAAAAAAGTGAGTGCTGCGTTTGTCATTTTTTTTAAACATAAAGTCTCACACTCTTAGTTCTTTCGGTAAAGTCACGTAGGTAAAAAATGAAATTAAAATTAATAAAAAGAAAAAATAGATTTTTTTTAAATTTTCATTTCATTTTTTACCAACGTGACTTTACCAAAAGAACTAAGAGTGAATCCTTGCAGTCACGAAAGCTTCAAATCTAGAATAAATTCTCACTTCCACTGCTGTACTGCTACGCACCTTTCACACTGAAGAGTCGGGCGCCCAGTGGTGGCTACCGCTGCACGTGGCTCCCTGCAGTGGTGCAGGCAGCAGCCAGTGATTGGTGGATCACACACACACACACACGTTGTGAAACTTCCTTCAACCCGTGGAAGACGATTGGGAAGAGCCGTAGCCTGGCTTGCTCGAATGCGGTACGGCAAAAAAAGTGTGGACTCCCACCCAATATATATTTTTAAAAACTTTCTTTTACAAAGTGAGCACCACTGAGAAACGTAGCTGTTTTTTTCAGAAGCGACCTGGCTACCACAAATCATAGCTCAACGAAGTGGCTTGTAGCTTGGAAATGTTTCGCAGCCACAAATACTCAACGCACCTTGATTCTAAATGGAGGGGAAAAACCGAAGGATCCCAAGAAAAATCCACGCAACCACCGGGAGAGAGACACAGACTCCAAATATACAGCAGCAGGCGTCAGCGTCGGGATCGAACCCACGACCTCCTGCACACCAGGCGAGGGAGTTAACATCTCCTAGCCACCGTGATGGAGAGACACTCAAACTCCAAATATACAGCAGCAGGCATCAGTCGGTATCGAACCCACGACCTGCATACCAGGCGAGGGAATTAACATCCCCTATCCACCGTGATGATGGACACGCAAACTACAAATATACAGCAGCAGGCGTCAGGGTCAGGATCGAACCCACGACCTCCTGCACACCAGGCGAGGTAGTTAACATCTCACCACCTGTTGTCTGTACAGACGAGTGCTGCCCGCTCACGTGCATGGGTTCTCTCCAGGTTGCGACCAACCAAAGGCCCTTTGGATCTTTGCTCATTGGGTGTGCATCTCGAGTCTTGCGTTCCTCCCAACTCAAGTAGATTAGTCAAACCTCGTAATAAGCAGGTGGCTTCTGCAACCACAACCGTTTAACAGTTTAACCGAAATTCGCGGTGGAATTGGAAAGCCGACTGAACAATAAGGTTATAACCGCGTTCATAATAACTACGACAATGTAAGCTTTTAGGAGTTAAGTGATAACCGGACGAAATGTTATTTATACGCAAGAACACCGTGGTACTACTTTAATTGTACCACAAATTATGCTTGCCCAAGTCGTTGCGACGTCAAACTTTCTTTCGGACATTAAACGGAAGTGCCCACTTGTCACGAATTGAAGGCCGTCACCGTGACTTTCGTGCCGAGGATGAATTGGCTTTTCTTTGGACGTCTCCAAAAATGCAAAGTCACCACCGCAATGAAAAATAATCGGTGTTTACCCCCTTCTGGCAACCACACGTGCTTGTGGTCAACATGCAAACACGTTCTGATAAATTCATTATCCTTGAGACACGAGACGGCCTTCTTTATGGCCTAGTCTCACCAGTGTGATCACAAGGCGAGCATTAACAAAGACAATGCATGTAACCAGAGCATTTATAGCTAGAGTCGAGCACACGATTTCTTGCTAAAAGGTATCTATTTGGTTTGAACACGTTAGCACCTGTTTGATTGCCAGAAAGGGTAAAACCTATTATTTTTCAAACTATGATACTGGCAAAAGAAAGGTCTCAATGTATCACCACCGCCATTTTTGTTTCGTTTCAATGTCGTAAAAATCGGTTAATCTAGATCAACTTACCCCAACACTGTGTACAAGGGGAAACCCTCTCCCATATCAGTGGACTGAAAGAAGGGCTGTACAACAAAATCACGCGCGCAAACACACAAACAAAACACACAAACACACGCAATCCAAGGCCACGAAAACGCCGCACAGGGAAACACAAAGGAGACGCTTGGCCAGGAACCCCCCACGCTACACGCTCAAGCAAGGAAACGGTTAACGAGAAGACTTCATTCATTGTAAGGGCTATGCTTTATTCACAAATTCTTCATTTAGATATTACATCTGTTAACGGTTCCCGATCTGAAGAGTGGGCAGAAGCGGACTTGGCCCCTATGGTCGTGTACCAATCATGAAGGGACGCACGCGCACACACCGCAATGTGGTCACCCCCGCACACAGGTGTGTGTGTGTGTGTGCAGGATCGTCCCTGGGAGGGATGGACTTTTCCAGACCGACCCCCCCCCCCCCACCCCCCATGAGAGACATTGCACACCACGAAATGTTTTTTGCCGGCACAAGACAACCGGAGTTGATAAATACGTCGTCAACTTTCGGTTACACCAATTGTATATGGCTGTTTCGTGGCGGAAAGTGTAGCAAGCAAGCGAGCTAAAACAAATTATCCGCGTTAGCTTGACGTGTACAGTATTAAACGTTTACGATTTGTCACCTTCGCCATAAGTGCAAAGCTAAATAAAATTAACTCGACAAATTGTGCCAAGGGCTAACTCCAGGGGCAAATCATTCAAATATTTATATCCGGCAAATTCGCCAATTTAATGCCGTGGTTAACATGCAACCTGGAAGCTGTGGCCAACAGTGCAACAACCCTTTTTGGGAAAATGCAGCGGCATCACCCAATAGTCCGCGTGCTCATCACGGAGGTGGCAATCAGTGCACCACCCCGTGCGCGTTAAGGAAAGTGAGCGTGCGTGAGCGCAGCTCCGTTTAAAGCGCGGCAAATGTTTTGTCTCCGTGGATGGTAGAGGAGGGGGGGGGGGAGGAGGGCCTGGAGAAGCCCAAAGAAGAAGCTCAGAGAAGAAGCCCACCATCTCTCCGGCATGACGCAAGGCCAAGTCCGCTTTTAGCAGTGGGTGTGACAGATGGGATACCCGTACACGCACGCACACTCGCACGCACGCCGAGTTTGGCGAGCGGGTGGTGTTGGTGGTGGTGGTGTTGGCGACGCCGTCGACAATTCACTTCTTCCACTCGTTCTTCTCGTAGTCCCACTGGGAGGAGAAGCCCTCCACAGGGTTGACGCGCATGTCCAGCATCCTCTTGGTCTGCATCGCAACCCACTCCTCGGACAGCGTGTGCGGCACCGGCCCGAACACTGCGGGAGGGGGAAGACGCATCGCAACGCACGTTTAACGTACCACAGCCGTCGTAACATCTCTATGTATGTAGAACTTATTTCGCACCCAACTAAAATCAGGTGTCGGCACAGACGAGCCGTGCCGAGCCGTGCCGAGCCGTGCCGCCGACACGGAGTAATTGTCCAAATTAATGTGTTTTTTTGGGTGAGATCGAGTAAATGTCAATGTGTCGTTAAACCCGCCACCACCCAACACAGCCAATTATTAAGGTATGTCAAGTAAACAAAACGTGGCCAATTAGTTACTTCAGCACACCGGTGTGTTGGAGAGTAAACCAACAGCATTTACAATTTGAGCAACACGTTTCCCTGGTAATTAAATGATGACGTCACCCTGAGGCTGCTCTATTTAAGAACGGAAGCAACAGGAGAGCTTCACCATTCTTGCCCGATGAAGCTGATTGTAATTATCAGCGAAACGTCGTACTACTCAGATTTAAAATGCTGTTGATCCTCTCTTCAGCACACCGGTGGGCTAAAGAAGTGAATTATTTTGTCCTTTGAAAACGTGACACATTTTTTACTGTTTGGCCGTGTCGGGTGGTGGAGGTTTACGACACATTTATAAATAACACGATCTGATCCAAAAACCTATATTATGAATATTGGTCGCGAAAGCCTACGTGTTAAATTGACGTAGTAATTAGTCGAGGCGCGTGCAGCCGACGCGGTGGTCGAGTCCCATAGCAGGTGACGCGGTGACGTCCTCGGTTTACCAACCAACGTCAAACGCGATAGATGCATATCTAGCCCTGCCTTTGATCTGGCCCCAAGCCAGAGTCGCGTGTCTCGTGAGGCCAGCATATTCCGGTTTGGTTCGGGCTCAGCTCGAATGTGCCAGTCGAATAGGGGGGGGGGGGGGGGGGTGGGGGGTGTGTACAAGTGACTTTCAGAACAGATTAATTGTCCGAGGGCCCAGAACAGATTTATCACTTTGTCACATCTGAGGTTTGTTCCGGTTGATCCGGTTCAGTCTTCCCAGTGCTGGGCAGGACTCGAGCGCGGCCCCCGAGTGAATGTGCGTACATGCGAGCGCGTGAGCGTGCGTGAGCGTGCGTGAGCGTGCGTGGGGGTGCCGGGGGGGGGGCCTCACCGTAGTGGCGCTGCCAGATGATGAGCAGTCCCGTGAATCCGAAGAAGAAGAACACCGCTCCAAGCACAGTCTTCCACTCGTGCGAGGGCTGATCCATCTCCGCGTACGTCTTGTTGAACATGATGCGGTACACTGCATGCCGGGGGAGGGAGAGGTGGGGGGGGGAAAACAACGTGGAGCTGCTTAAAGACGGGAGCAGTCTGCAGCAAATCAGTCGCACTGCTGTGTTGCGTGCAACCAAATCGCTTAACGCAAAGACCTACGGCAACTTGTCGGTGCCTGCGGTGGTCGCCCACCCATGGCTAAAAAGCCTGCTTGGCCCAACAATGTGTCATCTTGACAGAGTCATTCGCGTGAGTAGTATATCGTGACCAATATCATCCATAGTAGAGTTTTTTTTTTTGGGGATATATCACATAAATATAAATGTGTCGTTAAACCCACCACCACCCGACAGCCAACTGGCAATAGATACCCATTTTAATTCATATGCATTCATTAATCCCCCCACTTCGCACGTGAAGGGCTCACAAGTGACTTCATCACAGCCATCCCTCAATTTAAGGAACTAAACAGGAGGATTTCACCACGAATCTGGCTGTCGCCTGATGAAGCTAGTTGTAATTATTGGTGAAAAGTCACTCAGATTGGACATATTGTGGATTTGCTCTCCAACACACCGGTGTGCTGTACTAGTAATTAATTGGCATGTTCTGGTTACGTGACTTTACTAATTGGCTGTGTCGGGTGGTGGCAGGTCTAACGACACATTTATATTTATGCGATCTAACAAAATTTTTTTTACATTATGGAGTATCTCAAAACTCGAACAATTTGCAAATCTTCGAGCGGAGGCACAGGAGGACAAGGGCATCGACAGCACCGGTGCCAACAATCGCCGTCATTTTACAATAAGGGGGCGACAATTTTCCATGAATAATCCCGATTTATGAACGTAATATAACCATGCAACACTGCTTACCTTCCGAGACCTAACGAGATCGGGGGGGGGGGACACACATTCTGGGAGATTTGGTCACAGGGGTGGCACAATGTGCATACACGTTGGCGAGGTGTTGAGTAGGGCTCAAGGTAAGGTCGAACTCGTGCACAAGATGCTTTCCACAAATGAACTACAATACCTCGCTGATCTCGTCAAGGGAAGCATAAACCACCACCACGCAAACTACGGTCATCCTCGCAGCAGCGGCTTTTGGCTAACCCTCGAACAAAGACGGTCACCGCATCTCGCGCTCTCGGATGCGCTTCTGCGGCCGTCTGGAACGCTCTTCCTTTCGATCTTAGGAAGCCACTGGAGCTATGCACTTTTAATTCTAGATTGAAAACTAATTTTCTGAAGAACTGCTTTTAGTGTTTAGCTTGTCGTCCCTTTCCTTGCACCTCCGATTAGCATGAATGGCTATGTACGGTGTGAAAGAAGTTCAACATATATATACACACAAGTGACTATTATTTAACACGTAGGCTTTCGCGACCAATATTATTCATAATATAGGTTTTTGGGTCAGATCGCGTTATTTATAAATGTGGTGTAACCCTCCACCACCCGACACGGCCAATCAGTAAAAAATGTGTCACGTTTTCAAAGGACAAATGATTTGACTTCTTTAGCCCACCGGTGTGCTGATTACAATACCCTCCCCCCCTCCTTGCCTCGAATCACTGCACCAAATTGAATTGAATTAAATGATGACGTCACCCTGATGCAGCTCTATTTAAGACCGGAAGCAACAGGAGAGCTTCACCATTCTTGCCCGATGAAGCCGATTGTAATTATCAGCGAAACGTCATACTACTCAAATTTTTAAAATGCTGTTGATTCTCTCTTCAGCACACCGGTGGGCTAAAGAAGTCAATTAATTTGTCCTTTGAAAACGTGACACATTTTTTACTGTTTGGCCGTATCGGGTGGTGGAGGGTTACGACACATTTATAAATAACGCGATCTGACCCAAAAACCTTTATTATGAGTGACTATTATTGTTAGCAGAATAAATTCCTGTGGCACTACATAAAGCAAGAGGAGCGAAGGTTTAATCAATTAATAAAGGCGGTCTTTTAGCCCTGTGCATATGGGCGACACATCTCCGTGCATGTGTATGCCAATTTGCGTAGGTCGCAGCAGCACATTTGTGTCTTCATACTTGAGCAGAGTATTCCCACGCGTGTAATGATGCATTGCCACATAAGCAGTGTGTGCGCCCCCTTGTGGATATATTAGGTCCCTTATCCGGACGAGAAGAAAGAGGTGGCACAAAGAAGAAGACAACCCGATGATGCGGGCAGAGATGACAAGGAACCAGGCACTCTTTGGACACACGTGTAGCAGGATGGACAACAACAAGAACATTTAAAGGTGTGGTGTTGTTCGGAAAAAAATGGAAGAAGGCGGAAGGAGAGGAAGACCTAACGGAGTTAATGGCTTGACGATGACGGTGACATGAGAGATTGGTTCCACACAAGATGTGGCCACTACTTGAGCCATAGCGGCACAAGGCAGAGGAAAGTGGAAACAAATTACGAAATGTGAAGCAGACACCTCCCTATGGGCTATTGGTCCATAGATCGTGATGATGATCTGGACTAACCCCCCCCAAAGCATGGTAGAAACTTGATTTTCCCTCACCAACGATTTAGTACGATTGGCTATGTACGATGCGAAAGAGGTCCAACATATATGGGCGGTTCTAGGCTAGTTGAATTCTGCTCCGCATGAGCACTGCCCTGAGGCGCGTTTGGGTTCCGTGCAGCGATCCATTATTCATACTTTAGCTCTCGCGAAAAGCACGATAAAAAAATAGCAGAGCGAGGGAAAGCGAAACAGTCAAGCTATCTTACAGGAAAGAAGTCTCTGCCTCTGTCCTTTAGCCATCGCACTCTAATTTTAGTGTGCGTAACCATTAAGGCTAAGGTGGCTTAGCCCACGCTGCACCCATCGCGGTGCAGAGGTAAACGTGAGGGATCGTGGGAAGAGGGTTGCAGCAATTAGGTGGCAGGGGCAGGCACTCAAAAACCACGAAGCAATCTCCCAAACGATACGAATAAAGACCAACACTAAACTTTCATTTTACCAGGAAAGGCCCACCAAGCTGTATAGCTCTTTGAGAAGTGACCTGGCCACAAATGATAGCTCAACAAAGCGGCCTTATCACATGGAAATTTATAGCAGCCAAATACTCTAAACGCACGTTCATTCTAAAATGTGGAGGGAAAAACGGGAGAACCCGGAGAAAAATCCATGCGACCACAGGGAGAGGGAGACACCGCAAACTCCAAATATTCAACAGGCGTCAGGGTCTGGATCGAACCCACAACCTCCTGGATACCGGGTGAGCGAGTTAACATCTCGGCACCGTTAAAGGCTCTAAAAGGGGGATCCTTTAGCTTTGTGTGCATGTGGAGCGGAAGTATCGCGATTAGCGGACTGCACTACGAACCCCGCTTACGGCTATTTCACAGCTAACATCGGTGACGATAATCTGAACCGGTCCTGGGGCTCCCATATGTCGACTCAGCCTCAAATGAATACCTGGTGCAGTGTGTAAACATCGCCACTTGGGGAGACAAAGGCAGCCGGGCGTGGTGTGCTGGTCACCCACCCTCTCGTGTGCCGTGCCGGCCTTCATAGATGCTACTCGCAAACAAGCAACTGCCCCGACGGTCTGTTGAGGCTACACGTGGGATCTTTGTCTGTCTTTGGGTGCGTGCGCCACTCACGCGCCAGCTTCTCGGCTTGGCTGAGCGCCGTCCAGGGTCCCTTCTCCTTCTCCTTGAGCGCGAGCTGATGCGACGCGAGGTCGCGCACGTAGGGGATGTCGGGCAGCGGCACGTCCATGCGGTCCGTGTACTGGGGCAGGCTCCACTCCTCGGGCTTTGCAACCACCGCTGTACACACCGTCAGCATCGTCAGCATCGTCAGCACCGTCAAAACCATTGACACCGTCAGCATCGTCAGGAGCGTCGGCATCATCAGTACCATCAAAACCATTGACACCGTCAGCATCATCAAGAGCGTCGGCATCATCAGTACCATCGGCACCGTTAACACCATCAAGCAGCATCAGCAGGATCCGCACCATCGTCCCTACTCCGTGCTTTCACTTTGCACGAGTGTCAGCGCACGACACAATCGCAACGCCATTTCATCGTGCCGTTGACCGGATCGCCCAGGAGCAGGATTACGACTCGCAATCACTGCAAGTAGCAAAAGGTTTAAGTGCGACGGAGGTGTGCGACAACTGTACATGACTTCCTCCCTCTGCCCCACGGAAGGCATCACGACTCCCCTGGTGGGAAAGTGCTAATTTGGGAAACAATTAACAGCACTGAATAAGTGCAGCAGTTGGCGCCCCATGGATAGACTGGTCTCTGCCACGGGAATGTGGAATTTGTCACCGGCTGAGTTTGCCAAGGCGGTAAGCGCCGGCGAAAATCGCTCGTTTGTAACAGCGAGACATGTTGTCTTGTGACCCGAAATTTACTGCGCAGACCGTAACTAAACGCGGGCACATGCACGCAAAAACATTTCAAAGATGCCCAAACGATTATTCCTCAAGAGATGCTTTACAGTAATATAATCTCTACACAGGGTCAAAAATAAGCTTATGTGTAACTAGAAATATAAAACGACACGTGACATCACATGTACACACAAGCAAACAATCATTATTTATGCATTGCAAACCCTTAATATGTTTGCCATTTACAATAAAAACGCAAGTGTCCAAAGGTTGTGGAAACAGTTGACTAGAATGGCACGCTAACACAGCACACACGTTTCATCATTTGGTACGGAAAGACCATGCCAAATTTAGCTTTTACGTTCAAAAATGAGTCGCGTTTTCAATTGCACCGATTCAGGTTTCAGGTGTTATTTTGTTTGATCGGGTAAGAAGTCCGGAGACCAGTATGAGTCTCATTTGCAAGAGTGACCCCCCCTGGGGTTCACTCGTTATTTGAGCACACCTGGAAGGTCAGAAAGATTACCTTTAAAAAAAAAAGAAACGATAAGACAATTGTCATGTCCTACACGTCGTGCTTTGAAGACGATAAAAAAAATTCAACCGATTGTAGACGCCGCAGTAATGGAGACTGCACTGCGCAAAATGCAATGCCAAATGGAACACCGGATCCAGGCCAATGACGGACGGGAGTCACAGCCAAACCATAAGTTATTCTACACCTCCACCATTGAGAATCAACGGTAGGTGAAATGGACGGTCAAGGAAAACGAGACTTCTGTAAAAAATTTTTTAAAGAGTGTCGATTTTAGTTTTTCTTCCGATTGCAATATGCTCCATTGCTGTACTTTCCTTTGCTCCATTTGGTTTTCTCTCTATGGGTGCGTGTGAGCTACGCCCAGGTGCAGTGGGTGCGCTGTATGGTGCGCGTGTGTGAGCTGCACACAGGCGCAGTGGGTGTTTGTGTGTGCGCTGTATGGGTGCATGTGTGAGCTGCACACAGGCGTAATGGGTGTTTGTGTGTACGCTGTATGGGTGCGTGTGTGAGCTGTACACAGGCGTAATGGGTGTCTGTGTGTGCGCTGTATGGGTGCATTTGTGAGCTGTACACAGGCGTAATATGGGTGTTTGTGTGCGCTGTATGGGTGCGTGTGTGTACTGCACAGGGGTACAATATGCTGTGGGTACTGTGGGGGGTACTGTGGGTGCCACTGCGCCCGTGTCACCCATACCGTGGCCGTGCCGCGCCGCCGTGGTGGCGAGCGCCCTCCGTCCCATCAAACTCAGCATACGTGCGGCCAGCATCTGCAAAGCACACGTTCACACACAAGACGCCCAATCCTTCATCGTCGTCATCACCGTCATCATCTACGGCTTCACAATGTGTCTCACACGCAATCAATCCACACCAAGTGCTTGCCACAAATGAACCACAATACCTCACTGATCTCATCAAGGAGCATAAACCATCACGCAAACTCCGGTCATCCCTCACAGCTGCGTGTATTGGCTGCCATTGAACAAAGACGGTCACCGCATCGCGTGCTTTCAGATTCGCTTCTGCAGCCGTCTGGAACGCTCTTCTTTCCAATATTAGGAAGCCACTGGAGCTATTCAGCAGACGACTGATAAAAGCCAGAATCGACCTAGGAGAGGCCGACGATCAGATCAGATATCAGGAGGTCACTGACGTTAGCCGTGGCTGGGAATTGAACTCGGGTATCGGCAGGTGCGTAGCCCAGTGCGCCAACCACAACAACAACCGTAATTCGCCACCAAGTGGCGGTGACATCACCACGGCGCTTGTGGCAGGCTGTGCACTTTAAGGCCCCCCCATTAAGTATCTAAGGCTCGTAGGCAGGTCACGGGACAGACCCAGGTGCCATGGGTTGATGGACTGAGATGACTGGTACCACCTGTGCCCCCTAATGTGGCAACTGACCACAATGCCACTGCTTGCACATGACAGCACCCGGTCACGAAGTGGCGATGACGTCACCACAGCCTGCACTTTGAGATCCAGGTGTTGAGGGTAAACTACATAACACAGCATTGAATGAAAGTGCTGATAGTAAGCACCCATCAATGTGGGTACACACTACGTGTGGCTAGTAGCACGCCCGGCCACCTTCGTCTCCCTAGGGGCGATGTTTACAGACCACATCAGGTAGTCATTTGAGGCCGAGTCGCCCTAGGGGAGGCCCAGGACCGGTTAAGCATTTTCGTCACCGTTGTTGGCTGTGAGTTAGAATCGAACTTATGTTTCCAGGTTCATAGCGCAGCGCGCTAACCGCTGCGCCACCACTACCCACGATAATCTTAAACACACACAGTGCACGCACATATACACACGCAAAGCATGAGGAAACTTGCCTCGCCCACACACACAGAGCAGGTAGAGAGAGAGAGAGCGAACGAGCGAAGCCCGGCCCACACGTGGCTTAAACGCCATGAGCGCCCTGCAGGCAAGGCACGTACGCGCAGCAGCAGTAGCAGCGAGCTCATCAAGGGCAGGCGCGGACAAGCGGACGCGGCGCAGACTTTGAAGGTCGCCGCTTGCCGGTCCGCACACTCCACCCCCCTCCCACCACCCCCCCGAGGGCAGCCACGCTGGCACCGTCTCAAGCTACCGCCACCCGGCCCCCGGGGAGGGGATCTCACTCATCCAGGTGGCCCTCTGCAAGTCAGGCACGGGCCATTGTGGCGGGAGGGCTACTTCAGTAGCCGGGGTTTGACACGGTAGGTCATGGGGTTTGCGCGATCTTCATGCAACAAACCTCCCCAGGTCGACCTTGAAAAAGATGTATTGTGGGTTATTATCGTGAATGTATTTCAATCCTACACTGCGACCTTATGGCCCTGGCGGTTTGTCAAGAGCTTGGGCGATGGCGCTTGAAATAGCCGCTCACGGTCGCGAGAAAGAGCCACTGGATGAGCAGCCTGTGCGCTGCGCAGCCAACTTGTAGTGGACAGATGCAGTGGAAGAGCCTGCAGTCGTAGACACGAGGTGGTGCTTCCCCGAAAGAACTTGCCGACAGCGCGCAACGAGGATGACCTCAAAAGCCAGGATAGTCAAAAGGGGGACTGCGTCGAATGCGCGTGGCGAGAGAAACGAGCCCGAGAGACACGTCGGCGAAGGTGAGGACACGGACACGGGCCGGTCCTTGAATGCAGCAGCGTCGTGGGTCTAATGCGCGCAAACGCCAAAAAAAAAGAGAGGCACGTGGGTCATGGACCAGCGGGAGTGGGCAACACGCAAACGCTGGAACCGCTTCGTGATGGTTATTTATCCAGGACCCCCCCCTCCCCCCGGCGTCTCGGATTCACCACGCAATGCATTGCGGGTCTTGAAATATTGATTATTGTTGTTAGAGAATTCGAAGAAAAAAAACTGCCTTGTTATTTTGGTAGCCACCAACCTCCCCATCCCCGCGATTTTGACGGTGGTCATTGAAGGACGTTGCATACCTGTCAAGCCCTTATCAGTGCCCTACCTTATTACAGACCAATTCAGATCTTATTGGTCACCCCGTGCCCCTTATAAAACTCAACGTTCATCCTACAAAGTCCCATCACAAGGGAGAAACACAAACAAATACTAAATAAAAATTGTGTTGCTCGTATTGAAACGCCTGTACTCCGTTTGGACCTGAAACGCAATTTCCCTGTTCAAGAACACGGTGTTAAACCGTATGGTCTGTACATGTATTTAAGCTGTGTCGATTACAAACGTTGTAAAGCGACGTGGATGAACCCAGATGATTTGATGAGACGAAGAAAGCGCCACAACGGCCAGCAGCTACAGTTTACGGGACGAACGCGTTTCAATGGACAATGGCTTAAGCCAGATGGGTCAAGATTGTGAGTCTTGAATGACGAGTTAGATCAGAAATGGGGGGGCCGCCGAGATGGTTGGTTGGTGATGGTGTTGGCGATGGTGTTGGTGATGGTGGTGGTGATGGTGTTGGTGGTGATGGTGGTGATGGTGTTGGTGATGGTGGTGATGATGGTGGTGTTGGTGATGTTGGTGGTGTTGGTGATGGTGGTAGTGTTGGTGGTGATGATGGTGATGTTGGTGGTGATGATGGTGATGTTGGTGGTGATGGTAGCGATGATGGTGATGTTGGTGATGGTGGGGGTGATGATGGTGATGATGGTGGTGTTGGTGGCGATGGTAGCGATGATGGTGATGTTGGTGATGGTGGGGGTGATGATGGTGATGATGGTGGTGTTGGTGGCGATGGTGGTGTTGCTGCTGGTGGTGATAGTGGTGTTGGTGATGGTGGTGATGATGGTGGTGGTGGTGCGAGCAACAACGACGCCGCACCGTGGCGGTAAACGAGAGACGATCGGCGAGAGAGAGAGGTGGTGGGGGGGTGGTGGTGGGGGGGGGGGGAGTCCGTGAAGGTCGGGGAAGGGTCGACTTTGCCGGCAACTTCGTTGAATCGAAGAGCGGCGCGGAAGGACAGCGATGGCGCTAGCGGCGGCAGAGCTACAAACAAAGTGGCCGGACGAGACGTCCACAGGCGGCAGAGGTCGCCGCCATCGCCTCTCCCAACCCGCCTCTCCCAACATGGCGCTTCCGTGTTCGCTGGCGGCGGCGACGTGCGCAAGGTCACCCCGCACTGAAGTTGCCGCAAGGACCCCCACCACCATCATCACCACCGCCACCACCATCATCATCACCACCACCATCACCGCCACCATCACCGCCAACATCACCATCATCACCACCATCACCGCCACCATCACCGCCACCATCACCACCAACATTACCGCCACCATCACCACCATCGACATCACCATCATCACCACCGCCACCGCGCCTCCACGGCTTCCCACGACCACCCCCCCCCCCATACTTTGCACCTCCACATCGCGTCTCGTGACTCGGACCCGCGAGCCGTCACTCCGCACAGCACCCCCACCCACCCGGCGTCAAGCACGAGCACACGAGCACCCAACCACCATTCAAAAAATTAATGTAGCTGTCAAGCACCCTTATCAATGGACGTCGATGTTGAGTAAGCGGCAAGAGCCCCCCCCCCCCCGAGTCCACGTTGGCCCCCCACAAACACTCGAGCCCCCCCCCCCTCCTCTCTCTGCGGTCTGGCACCGCGTCTCGCAGAAACGCAAGAGGTAAAAACAATCCCTCACCACACACACCGGGGGAGACCCCCACACATCCCCCCCTCTCCTAATCGACTATCAGCCTCAACACGATCCCAGCAATCCCCTAAACCTGCAAACCCAGTGAGGGGGGAGCTCCCCCCCCTAAAGATTCCTCACCCCTCCTCTCTCCTACTCCGCTGCCTTCTCCACGGCGGTCTCGCCCGCCCGCCACACGCCGCGTCGGGAACGCGCGCGGCCCACAGGGCCCTGGACACCGCCTCCCTCCCGCCACTCCCGACCCGGGTCCGACCTGGGCCCGACCCGTTCCTCAACAGCCACAAAAAGCCCCGTTGCCGTCCGATCCGCGCGGCCGGTGTTTGCCGAGGGACCCCGATCGCTTCTTCGTTATCTAGACGAGGAGGAGGTGGTGGTGATGATGATGACGATTGATGAAGGTGAGGAGGATGATGATGATGATAGAGGTCGTGGATCGGCACCTTTCTCGTCGTCGTCTTCCTCCTCCTCCTCGTGCTGCTCGCCGCGCCGACAAATGACCTCGACGGCGAAGTGGAGGAGGCGCGCGCGGCACCACGGGAAGTGCCGCACTTCCGGTCGGCAATTAACGCGTGGGCGGGTTTATTTTTTAAAACATTTAAATTTTGACAGCGTTCATGCGAAAGACCCGCGCGTGCGAGGCGGACTCTTAAATTGCGAATTAGCTTTCTTTAACGCGATTAATTAAAAAATAAATATTAATGGTGGTGGGGGGGAGGGGGGGAGTCGTGCCGGACGGATGTGACGTCACGTCCGATTGCGTCACGTCCGGGCCAGCGTCATCGCCGGACGTGACGTCCGCCGGATGCGGAGTCCATTTGGCGACGAGGAATGGAAGAGTCGTGGGGAGATTGTCGGCATCTGCGTCGTCTGCGGCAGTCGGCGGGGAGGTGGAGACGCGCGGGGCGATAGACGACGAGACGAGACGAGGAGGAGGAGGAGAGGCACGTGAGGAGAGCGATAGAGAAAGACGGAAGAGTTACAGATACACGGGGCCTGCGGGGAGAGGAGTTAAGGTAGCCAGATCAAGGGGTTTGCCTCGTCAACATCATCAGCTGATCGTCATCATCATCATCACTTGCCGGATTCTTCATTTTAATTACCAACATCACCATCATCACCGCGCTCATCATCTCGCACTTGGCAAGTCACAGTCGTCGGCACGACTTGAGGGGAAGAGAATCGGCCAGGGTCGGAGACGCGGAGGGGTGTCAACATCAACAACATCGTCATAGCCAATAGTAGCACTGCGTCACCAGGGTAGTGATTGACAAAGTAGCTACTGAGGACTCGGAAATCACGGTCTTGAGTGTGGCTTGTGGTGGTGGTGGTGAAGGACGTGGTGGTTGGTGACGGAGGAGTGACCCAGGAATAGGAGGAGGCGGTGAAGAGTTGGTGTGAATAGGAAGGATAAGGTGAATGAGGAGGAGGGGGAGGTGGTGAAGGAAGATAAAGGAGGAGGTGGTGAAGGAAGAGGAAGGAGGAGGAGGCGGTGAAGAGTTGGTGTGAAGAGGAAGGAGGCGGTGAATGAGGAAGGGGGGGGGGGGCGAAGGAAGGGGGAAGGGGTGAAGGAAAAGTTGCTGTCAAGAGGAAGGAAGGAGGAGGTGAGGTAGGCGGTGAATGAGGTGGTGGTGGTGAAGGAAGAGAAAGGAGGAGGTGGTGAAGGAAGAGTTGCCGTGAAGAGGAAGGAGGAGGAGGAGGTGGTGAAGAGTTGGTGTGAAGAGGAAGGAAGGAGGTGAATGAGGAGGGGGAGGTGGTGAAGGAAGAGGAAAGAGGAGGAGGTGGTGAAGAGTTGGTGTGAGGAAGTCGGTGAATGAGGTGCCGGTGGTGGTGCCCGTCCGGCATGGCGGGGCACTTCCGCAGCTACGCGTGGGACCCGGTGCTGATCGTGTCACAGATGGCGCTCATGCAGTGCGTATTCTACGGATTCCTGTGCCTCTGGCTGGCGCTCATCGATGTCTTGGTGCAGGCGAATCGCACCCTTGACCAGATCTTCAGCTACCAGGCACGTCCGGGGGCTGCACGTGTTTGCCGCATGCGATTCCTCCACACTTGGATATGTATAAACCCCCTAAACTTTAAAAAGTGTAAACGAAAACGACAACCGCGCACAGAGCAATAAATACGAAGAGACGTTTGGATTCATCTTCTAGGGGGACAGTGTTGTACTGTAGAAGGGAAATAATAAAATGATAAAATTAAAACAATAAAATGCAATTCTCACGACGTTTCGGCCACAACGCAAGCAGCCGTCCTCAAGTGAAGAACAGGGCTGTCGGAAAGACAGCGTCCTAATGAACACTGCTAGGTTGGCAGCGTATTTTAAGCTTAAAATACGCTGCCAAGCTCTGTTTCTTCACCCGAGGACGGCTGCTTGCGTTGTGGCCGAAACGTCGTGAGAATTGTATTTTATTATGTTTTATTTTATTATTTCCCTTCTACGTGACTTTACCGAAAGAACCAAGAAGATGAATCCCTGCAGTCACGAAAGCTTTAAATCGAAATGTTGTACTGTACTTGTATGGTATTTGCCGAATTGACAACTTGAGGTTGCCCTCAAGTTGTCAATATATCCAGAACGCGTGAGGGATGTCAGCAGAAGATTTGGGGAGGCCTTTAAGCCAGCAGCGGATTGTTAGTGACTGGCGAAGATGATGATGAATTCAAACTTAACATTCACAGGAAATACGAACTTGTGTGTAATTGTGTCTCTAAATAACCAGATCATAATGTTAATGCTCCACCCAATTACGTAATTAGTAGTTAAACCCAATGTTTGACTTTTAATTGGCTTGCAGTGACAATATTATGCGCATGGCACACACCACGGGGAAGGTGAGTAGAGTCGTGGATGTGATTAATGGAAAAAAGGGGGGAAGAAAAGATCGAGAAAGAATGTGAAATTGGAGGAAAATGATGGAAAGTGAGAGTCTGGAGGAACCAATGAGATATCTTGGCCAAAACCGTCAAAAGCGTATCATTCCAGTAGGTGTTATGCAAGTCTAGTACTGTATGTTGAACTTATTTCACAACGTAACCGGCCAACCGTGCTAATGGGAGGTGCGGAAGTGCTCTGTGTTTGGAAAGGACTCGTTCCTTAAATGGGTATCAATGCCACCATCACTGGATGTACATTGCATTGCCATTACGATGTGAATCGACGTCAATAAAAACACATTCCTGCGGAGGGAGCTGGTAGGAACGTCGGGTTGCTCGGTCAATGGCCAGGGTCAACGGCGGCGTGGTGTGTTCCGCAAATATGGCCGACTGTGAGGGCGGGCACAAGCCGGCGTGAGTAGGTTAAACGTTGAGTTTTATAAGGGCACCACGGGGTGACCAGCCCCTCCCCACCCAGCCCCACCCATCCCACCCCCCACCCAGGCCCATTCTCCCCACCCAGCCCCTCCCCACCCAGCCCCTCCCTGCACGACGGATGGACACAATGATCTCCTGTGGGCTGGTGGAACCAGGAGGTTCCTACCAGTAATAGTTGAGCCTTGGACACAGCAGCGTCTCTGTACAGCGACGTCACCATGGATCGGCGTGGCTGTTTTAACAGGACATGGGAGTGGGGTGGGAATCTGAGTGGGGCTGGCCAAGTTACGCGATTCATGGGGGAGCTGAATTAGATGCATAGATGAGCGTTCACGTAATCCGCTCACGTGGGACTTAACTCCTAATGAAGTAATTGGGTGGAGCGTTAATGGTAGTTGACCCTGATTGAACCCAGTTCGCATGTGAATCAAGCTGGATTGCAAGCATTTTTTTGCATATCGTGGCATTTCTTTATGGGTTCTAGTTATGGCTTCAGAAGAATTTTCCAGGTGCAAATTCTGAATTCTGTAAGAAAAAAAGTGTGCAATGCAGATTTAGAGTAGGAGCTAAGATAAAGTGTGATGCACAACTGTTATAATTAGAAGGTGAAAAAGATGAAGTTGTCACGGCCTGGCAAAGACCACATTCACCGCTTGTTGCAGAGGTTCACTGTTCTAATCCAGCGGACGCCCTGATTAATACTGCTGCGGTGCGTACTAACCGTAATAATACAAACCCCCATCTGCTTGACAGTGGACGTTAAAGATCCCAGGATTCCATTCGCAAGAGTAGGCCATTGTGTGGCGTCGTCATGGTCTAAAATTTGGCATGTTTGAAAAATGACAGCAAGCGTCGCCCTGTACTGCGAAAACACGGCAGCACCCACCTGAAAACAAGTCATGAGACTCGGCGACCCTCTCTGGGATAAACAAGCGTGAGAGCAAAAATGTATTTAAAATAATCACCGTCCTCTTTCTCTGTGATTCACAATTCATAACGCAGGTCAAGGGTGACCTGGGCTGGTGTCGCGGCTAAATTAAAACCCATTCAAATGCGGTTATATAATGAATATGGAGACATTGTCTCGTTTGTTTTGCCTGCCATCGGTGACCTGAGAAGGCAAGCCGTGTGATACATCTTAAGGAAGCATTCTTAAGCATCACTCGCGGACACTTTTGCCAGCCCAAATGGGTTGCAGACTCGCAAAATGATGCGAGCGGGTTCCAACACATGTTTGTTCGTGGAAGTATTAAATTAGTGGCATGGGTGCCGGAGGGCAAAAATTTAAGATAATCTTTGCATCTTTGCCACGCTTTAAGTTGGATCTTCGTTGCCAGAGTTTTAGCGCCCCTGATACTGACGGGCAGAGCTAATGCGTAAGCACTTCTGACCCTTGCTCGGACGGCGTTAATACGCAAAGCCAGCGAAGAAGGTGATGCTGTAGAGCAACACTGACGGGAAGTTGAATTTACGCCGAGTGTCGATGCAGCAGTATTCTCGCAACACCCCGTACTCTACACATGAGAGGGTGCTGCAACAACTGCCTTCATGCATTCTCCCCCGTTAGAGCAACAATTGTGGTGATCGATGAGTTTGGTGGTGGTGGACATGTGTGCATGTGTGGGGGGCAAACGGTGGCACGGTGGTTAGCGCACCGCGGTACGAACCCGAGTTAAGTGGCCAACATTTGAACTGGTCCTGGGCCTCCCCCCTCTAGGTTGACTCGGCCTTAAACGCACGTACGAGTTGGTGGTGTGTAAACATGAGCACTGGGGAGATAAAAGGGTGTGGTGCTGGCCACCCACCCCCCTCGTGTGGAATGTCCAACTGATGATGCCAGCCTTGACAGGTTGTCTTTAACAACACCTAACCCAACAGTCTGTTGCCCTCGTGCAAATATGTGTGTGCTTGTTCTTTCTGGCAGAGTGCCGGAGTGACTGATGAGTGTGGTGGTGGTGGTGTTGTGCACACACACACACCCTGCGCTATGAACCCAGTGACGATTATTTGAACTGGTCCTGAGCCTCTCCTTGGTCGACTCAGCCTCAAACGAGTACCTGGTGCAATGTGTAAACATCGCCACTGAGGAGACAAAGTCGGCCGGGCGTGGTGCTGGCCACCCAACCCCTCGAGTGCCGCGCCGGCCTTCATAGGCGCTCCTCGCCAACGACACTTGCCCCGACAGTCTGTTGAGGCTACACAGGGGGGCTCTTTGTCTTTGTGTGCGCGCGTGCAGGTGCTGGAGTTCTCGACGGCGCACGGGAGGGTTCCGCTCATCGCCTTCGTGCTCAACGCGCTCACTTGGTGAGGGCAGTTTGCAGCGGTGACCCTCCCGTCATGGCGGGGGTCACTCCTCGTCAAATCTACGCAGCGGCGCTTCGCGCAGCGCGTGACACCCCCTGCGTTGGATTGGTCGTTGTTGAACCGCACACGTAACTGCTCACGCCATTCCGTTCCCCCCCCACCCCACCGTGCACTTTCTCGTACTTGAGGCCTGCGGCGGTGGTTTGGAATTTCAAACCGATGACGACCCCGAGCTCCTTGGTGCAGTGAGAACGCAGATACTGTACTCGCTGTGTTAAGTTTGCCGTGCCCCAACTCGTCATGAGCCTTTGTCTTCCCAGCCACCCTTATACTTGATGAAGTCGGTTATCGAGAAGTGCCGGTTCAGCAGAGGTCGCAAACGGGTTTTGATTCCTTACCCGTACCCGTACCCGGCCGCACCAGGGTCGCAAATGGGTACCCGTACCCGTTCCCTACCCGTACCCTACCCGAAATGAGTGACAAACGGTTACTCATCAGTGACTCACGGCCTACCCGTACCCGGCCGCACCAGGGTCGCAAACGGGTATCGGGTAGGGTACGGGTATCGGGTACCCGGTTGCGACCTCTGCGGTTCGGTGTGTGTAGTCTGTAGGACAGGGAGTTGAATAAGGTCACTTTCAGTTCTCTAAGACGAGTTCTCTAAGATGCAACGCCTCATGGTCACAAGTCTCTGCGACCATGTGGAATAGCGCCAGCCAGGATCTCAAGTCGGCCGTCCAAGCTTGGCCCTTGTTACCCACAGTACGTACGTATGTTGAACTTCTTTCGCACAGTACGTAGCCAACCGTGCCAATTTGAGGCGCTCACGGCACGCACGTATACGTTGGCTTGGCGAGCCGTCCGCGGCACTCGCTTCTCCTGCCAGGCCACACGCTCTACCCTGGGCCAACCTCGCCACGGGATCACGGTAGAGGTCACGGTAGAGGTCACGGTAGAGGTCACGGTAGAGGTCACGGTAGAGGTCACGGTAGAGGTCACGGTAGAGGTCACGGTAGAGGTCACGGTAGAGGTCACGGTAGAGGTTCCAGTTAGGTCACGGGGCGGTGGAAAATCAAGAAGCAGAGTAAGCCCCCTCACTTGATTCGACTTGAGGGCCATGTTTCTGTTTAAATACAGGGCGAACAATTACAATTTAATCTTGATTTGAATCTTGATTTTATTACAATTGACAAATTACCTTTAAGTAGCCTGGCCTGATCCATCCCTAAATTTAAAGATATTTTACAATCAGGATCGCTGCACCTCCAGTCCGTGGCGGAGGTTAGGGATGAAGACAGGTTCAAAGTATGGCTCATGAAATGTGGAGACACGAAATCCGACCCTTGCTGCTGCTGATGATCCTGGAATGTGTACCAAGCCATTGCTGGGTCGCCAAGTCGCAGTTACCACTGCTCGTGGAAGGTTAGGTAAATGGCTGTGTTGACTTGACATGGAACAAGGGTGGCACAGTCGGGTTTTTTACAATCGGGTTTAATTGTCTTTTATATTAAACCCGATCATCTGAGATTGGGAGAAATCCGGTTTAATTGGTTCTAAAAAAAAGATGCCTGCCGCTGGAAAAATTGGGTTTTTTCCACCCATGACATGGAATGACCTCTGGCGCACGCTGTATTGACGTGTCTTTGTAAATCGGGCTTCTTAATTTCCTTGTTTGAAATTTTTGAAAATGTCGCAGTAACGAATGGAGTCTTTTGCACGATTGTTAGGATAATGCTTTCGCACGGAGAGTGGCCCCTTTTTTTCCTCTCAATGACAGCATCACCTCGATGAAGGCTTTTTTTACTTGGGTGAGAATCCAGCTACAATTTTAAGTTGATTTGGCCACACAAAGCTAAATATAATCCACAAGTCACCAGATGAGTGTTTTTTCACTTTCCCAAGCCACCATTGTCCCCGTGTCGTTTTAGCCAGGGGCTGTAACACCCACACCATAAATCTTTCTCCCCCCCCCCCCCCCCGCAATTGCCTAACGCGTGCTCTCGCATGACTTTTATGTTCAAAGGGAATGTATAAGACCATTTCCCATTGGTGGCATTGTGACAGGAAATACTGGATTGTCCCGCGGGTCCACAAATCAGGGTGTGGTAGATGATGATGTGCAAAGATCACTATAAGCTGCTCTCACGCTTGCCCTGTAAAGAGTGTTTATCTTTGTGTGTGTGTGTGTATGGGGTGGACATGCCGGCGTATGAATTGACACACCACTGATCATCCAACCTTGGTGGATCGCGATGGTAAGGCAGGCTCGACTTAGACGGTTGGGCCACTTGTTGTGAAGAGACGAAGGATATGGACTTAGAAGGGCTACGGAGACGCCGTTGCAGGGCACGAAGCGAGTGACCGAGGGTGAGATGGGAGGATGTGGTAGAATGAGATACAAGGGCAGTGAATGCGACAAGAGGCACAGAATAGAAGCTCGTGGAGAAATAAAATCCAAGACTCCATGCAAAGAGCGGAGTTTTTTGGATGAAAGGACGAGAACACTGGCATTCATCCAGCAGTGGACGGATCACGGCTTTTGCAATTGCAACCATTGCCAATGCACACGCTGGTGTGCAAAGGCACACGCTGGTGTGCAAACGCACGTTTTGCTGGTGCCTTGGTGTGTAAATGCACGTGCTGGTGTGCAAACGCACGTTCTGCTGGTGCCCTGGTGTGTAAACGCGCGTCTCGATTGTGCGTGCCTCCCCCCCCCCCCCCCCCCCTCCCGCAGCGCGCTGGGCCTGTGGCTGTTCGTGCGCCGCGGGAAGCAGTGCCTGGACTTCACGGTGACGACGCACTTCTTCCACATGCTCGCGTGCTGGGCGTACAACGCCAGCTTCCCCAGCGCGCTCACCTGGTGGCTCGTCAACCTCGTGTGCGTGGCGCTCATGGCCGTCATCGGGGAGTACTTGTGCATGCGCAGCGAGCTTATGGCCATCCCGGTCAGCATTGGGCCCAAGGCCGACCTGTGAGATGCTTCGGGCCACGCTGCGAGGTCGGGCGCCCTGCTCGGCCGTGGATTCACGGAGAAAATTCCTCGGAGCGTGGTGGGGTCCCGCCTCATCTTAGATGGACTCTCGCGAGAAGCGCTCGGTCTTGCGCCTAAGCGCGAGAGAGCTCTGCGTTGATGTCAGCGCCCCCCCGCCGCTGTCGGTTTGGAAGGGTCTGGAATACCCAGAGGTGTACGCATGCGTGTTGTGAACGTCTATCGGGTCTTACGTTGCCAACCGTGCTAAATCGGAGGTGCGGGGGTAGGGCAACAAACTAAACACAAAATCAGTTTTTGGGTTATCGTCGACAATGGAAGAAGTGATTTCCATCTTGTGTATATAGGTTTATTTTGAAGCGGCGCTTTAAAAATAAAAACGAAAACTATAAATGGACGTGAAAATTGTCGCGTTTTTATTTGCTTAGCTGGTGCTTGCGTGCGACGCGTTTATTTGACTCTCCAACGAGCCACGGAGGAGCCCGAGTGGTGTTGCGGTGTCGCTGCTTGTGGAACGACACGAAGAAAAAAAGACCGATGAAAAGCTCGGTCACAATTCGTGTGGTCTCTTGCTGTCGCATCGTCACCTGTATGGGGGCCACTTATTCACCCATTCCGAGGCGTCTGCAAGTCGCAGGGTGTGTGGTGTGTCCCGTTAACCGCTGAATCACGGAACACACAAGTGGCTCCGCGTAAATTTTATTCAGGTGAGCACGTAGTAGCGCTGCTACTACGTGCTCACCGCAGACAACTGAAGCGACACGACCGCCGCAGTCGACGACAGCCGACGCCAAACTGCCACACACCCTCCCGCATGGCCTTGTGAGAGCCCTTGGTACCGATAAAGTGATTTAAAGTTTTTCTTCCGCAGTAGCCGAAGGTGAAACGACCCTCTGCAGGTCACCGTATATTCTGGTCACAGCCATGTAAAAAGCTTGATCCGCGACAGCTGCAAAGCCTCCCCTCCCCCCTTGTTTGTTGTAACTTTGACCCGCCACAACTGGCTTCATCGCTCGTCGGATTTCTCCAGGATAAATACATTCTAATTTCACCGACTTGCTATCCAGGTGGGAGTAGACACACTCTGCCCCCACCACACACCGCCTGCTGATCGCCGAATCGGTGGAGCCGTTGACGCTGCGGGGTGGACAGAGGTGGAGATTTAATAAACGTCCACCTTTGTTTCATCTTACGCTCCCCGGGAGATGGAATCGAACCGGTGATCTCTGGGGTTGCAAGTCGGGCCTGCTCACCAATGCAACGGGGTGGCTGCATGCTGCGTAACTGGGTAAAAAAAAATTGGTCATGTATGTTGAACATCTTTCGCACCGTACGATGTTATTAGAACGCTGCTGGAGCTTATGCACTGTTGAATCTAGATTGAAAGCGCATTTCTTTCGAACTGCTTTTGTTTCTATTTAGTTTGTTGTTCCTCCCCGTCCGCCGCACCTCCGATGAACACGCTCGGCTACGTACGGCGTGAAAGAAGTCCAATGTACATTCGAGTCGGGTCCACGTCAGAGGTCGCAACCGGGTACCCGATACCCGTACCCTACCCGATACCCGGCTACCCGTACCCATTTGCGACCCTGGTACGGCCGGGTACAGGTACGGGTAAGAAATCAAAACCCGTTTGCGACCTCTAGTACACGTGGTGGTAGTGCCCCATCTGCTGTATTTTAATTGTATCGCAACGGATGGCGAGCGGGAAAGTGGAAGTGCAGCGCCCCGAGGGGGCTACGCTCCGAGCCCTGCGACCCGGGTTCGATTCCCGCGCACACGGCCAACGCCAGTGTATGGGGCCGTCCATAAATGACGTCACGCGATTTTGGACGATTTTGGACCCCCCCTCCCCCTCTTCGTCACACGACGTCGCAAAAAGTCAGACCCCCCCTCAAATATGACGTCACAAAGCTCTGCCCCCCTCCCAAAAAAAAAAAACATGCTTCAAATCGCTTTAAACTCTTGTCATTGTAGTGCGTATTTAATGTGGCACTGCACTCTGATGTTGTAGGAGAAAACATTTATTAAAAATCTATTTCATTAAGTAGAACGTGTTGTCTATATTTATTTAAAGTTGCGCATTTTGATGTGACGTCACATTTCTCACCCCCCCCCCATCGTCACACATCGTCACAAATATCTGACCCCCCCCCCTAGGTGCGTGACGTCATTTATGGACGGCCACTATGTCCGTTGAACTTCTATCGCGCCGTACATAGCCAACCGTGCTAATCGGTGTTGCGGATGATCTCGACCGGTCCTTGGCCTCCCCTAGGTCTACTCAGCCTCAAATGAGTGTCCTGGTGCAGTGTGTAAGGATCGCCACTGGCGGCTGGGCGTGGTGCTGCCCACCCACCCCCTCGTGTGCCGTCCCTGGCTTCATAGATGATGCGCGCTAACAACAGCACTTGCCCCAACAGTCTGTTACCGGCTTTTATGCTTATTACACTGGTCAACAAAAAAAAAATTCTGGCCTGGACTTTTGCAGTTGTTTTAGACTAATTCCAGGGTGCTGATTCCAAATCTGATCTCAGATTTGCTCTATCACATCTCATTTTTATGCTATCGGCATACCCCATTTTCATTGATTTTACCCGAAATTAACTCTGTCACTTATGATTGCAAGTTGTTGCGAGTCAGTGACTGCTTTAGTGTTGAAATATGGTGCTGTATTTTTAGGATAGTGTGTTTCTAATATCATTTTATGTAGATATCCACATTTATTTAATATTTTTCTTCTGCAGTTTTTATTGAAAATGCAATATTTGATATCTCAAAAACCTGATGTGATAGACAAAAACTGATGCCAGATTTGGAATCAGCACCCCAAAATTACATTAAAACCGTTGGAATACCTTATGCCAGAAAAAGTGTGTTGACCAGTGTTATCAGCTAACACCGGCTACAACCCTGAGTCGATGTGCACCATTGTTCTCTTTAGCCCCCCCCCCCCACCGTGCCATTCATTGGCTACCACAATCAGATAAGCCCCTCCCCCCCCTCCCCCTTAACTTGTATTTAAGAGCTTGTCTCTCTTGGATTTTTCCTCACTTGATACAGTAAATTTAGCTGTGACGGTCCCACCTGAAGACGGAGACTTGTGTTGCCTCCGAAACGTCGTGATTTATTTTATTTCTATTAATATTTCTATTATTTTTTATTTTGAATTTGTTTACCTACGTGACTTTACCGAAAAAACCTAAGAGTATGTTACAGGCTATAGGGGGGATCTTTGTCTTTGGTGTCGTGGTGGGGCTCGGGCTGACGAGTGCTGCTGCTGCTATCGGCACGGTATGGAATTCGCCTTCATCCAGCACAAGTGCTGCAGTGTACGATACATGTCAACTAAACAATTGATTTTTATTTTGACTGGTAAGGCCCACTGAGCTATATTAGAGCCGTTTTTCGGGAAGCGACCTGGCCACAAACGATAGCTTCAACGAAGTGGCTGAACATCACGTGAATATTTACAGCGGCCAAATACTCTAAACGCGTGACGTTGATTCTAAATGTGGAGGGGGAAATCGGCGGACCCCGGAGAAAATTCCACGCGACCACGGGGAGAGAGAGAAAGAGCGAGAGACACGCAAACTCCACGTATACAACAGGGTCGGGATCGAACCCAGGATCTCCTGCACACCAGGCGAGGTAGTTAACATCTCCTAGCCACCGCGATGATGATGAGAGAGAGACACGCAAACTCCAAATATACAACAGGGTCGGGATCGAACCCAGGATCTCCTGCACACCAGGCGAGGTAGTTAACATCTCCTAGCCACCGCGGCACTCAGACAAAGCAGCTGCATTTCGATGGTCCCGGGGTGGCACCATTAGGAGATTCCCACCGCGACTGGTCCAATCAAAATGATGCAAACATCACGCAACACGCCGGGACTCTGTGGACTAAAAACGGTGCCTTCGGTTGAGTTCCGAGTCGCGTAACCGTTTACACATCGGAACAAAGCCATCATTTACAATCTGGCGCACGTCAATGTTTGGTGGATCTCGTGTAGATTTAAGAAACACCCAGACCGGAGTGGCTCTTCATTGCAAGCCTCGCGGGCCACTGGCCCCCCCCCCCCCCCCCGCGACAAAACACAAACGATGACAATATCCTCCCATCGTCATCAGCGTGCTGCTGTCGAACCCCAAATGGTTTCAAACGCGTGGCGGTCCCTCGCACTGGCGATGTCTAATCGGCGAAAGTGTCCCCCCACTCTGAAATTGAGTCGAAGAACGCGGACCCGGAGCCACTGGGGTTGCAAGGTGGCCAGATGGCAGTCGGGTGGGATCATGAACCCATCTGTGTGGACCTTGGCGCGTTGTCCTTTCCTCGTGCATTGCGTCCTTCAGTGGATACCGTTCGATTTCCTCTCGCATGCAACACTTCATCTGAAAAAGAATTGCACAAACATCACGGCGCGGTGCCAAAACGCTGGCTTGCAAAATACTGCAACACCTTCTTGGTTCTTTCGGTAAAGTCACGTAGAAGGGAAGTAATAAAATAATAAAAATAAAACATAATAAAATTATTCTCACGACGTTTCAGCCACAACGCAAGCAGCCGTCCTCAGGTGAAAACCAGGTCCGACTCTGTCGCCTCGACGGACCTGGTTTTCACCTGAGGACGGCTGCTTGCGTTGTGGCCGAAACGTCGTGAGAATTATTTTATTATGTTTGATTTTTATTATTTTATTGTTTCCCTTCTACGTGACTTTACCGAAAGAACCAAGAAGATGAATCCCTGCAGTCACGAAAGCTTTAAATCAAAATTATACTGCAACACGTCAAACATTTCTACGGCGAGGATTCGGTTCATCTCAAGAGAGCATCCCACGTGTGGACTGTTCCTCCGCAGGCGGTGCTCACACAACGCGACGATCCTTTTCTTTGCAACGGTCCCGATGGAATTCCCGGGTTGAGATGACCCCGACTCGGATTACAAATGATTACAAATATAAATTCTCTGGCACGTGTCGTGTCCTGCAAGGGCCACGTTCCGTCCAGTGCTCGCCAAACTGCATTGGGTTCCAGTTGCCAAACGAATACAGGACGTACTAATGTCTCACTAATTATACACACACAAAGTGCCTGCCACAAATGAACCTTGCCCATCTTGTCAAGGAGTGTACGGTGATTTTTTTCTGCAATATTTTGCTGTCTTTTCTTGGATTTTCTGTTTGCACATAGTCACTCTAAGATGTTTTCTTGCTCGTGTTTTTGTTTTTTGTTTGTTGCGGTTGCACCCGATTCAAGAGCCGAATGGCTCACAGGGCTCTACCTAATAAATGAACTTTGAACTTTGAACTCCGATCATCCTCGCAGCGGCAGTGGCTTTTGGCTGGCCATCGAACAAAGACGGTCACACCGCATCGTACGGCGCTTTCAGATGCGCTACTGTGGTCGTCCCGAACGCTCTTCCTTCTGATATTAGGAAGCAACTGGACCTGTGCACTTTTAAATCGAATGAAGTAATTTTTTTACAATTGCTTTTCGTGTTTAGTTTGTTGTCCTTCCCCCGCACCTCCAATGAGCACGGTTGGCTATGTACGGTGCGAAAGAAGTTTAACATCCACAGGGGATCAAGTCTGCATTAACCACATGGACTTGTAGTGAACATGCAAACAAAACATGTTCTGATTTAAAGCTTTCGTGACTGCAGGGATTCATATTCTTGGTTCTGTCGGTAAAGTCACGTAGAAGGGATATAATAAAATAATAATAATACAACAATAAAATGCTCACGACGTTTCGATTGCAACACAAACATTCATCTTCAGGTGTGAAAACCACAGCAAGAAAATTAAAAAAAAAGTTTTTTTTAATTTTACCGAAAAGTTTCTTCAGAGAACGCCAGAAGGTGAATAGTACAGAAACTATGCACCTATCAGAGTATTTATAGCTCCGGGTGAGCAGCTATATGATGGGACCTTTTTGCCAGTCTCATAGCATGAAAAATAAAAAAAATAACCCGTAAAAACTAAGTTTTTCACTATAAATCCTTTATATGCGTGGCATCGGTTTTATTGTATTATTCATTTCTGTTTTTCTTGAGTAAGAGTTTCATTTTTATCACATTGGTATTTTAAATTAAATATGAAATATTTTTTTTCCTAAAAAGTGGAAAATTTTGGAAAAAAAATTTTTCCCGAAAATAAATTGTCACGCACGAGTCTGTGTGCAAAATGTCAGCTCGATTGGATCACGGGAAGTGGGTTAAAAAACGACCGAAAGATTTGCACGGTCGTAAGCGCGCAAGCAAACAAGTGAACTTAATATAAAGGATTTAAAAAAAGGTTTTACCCTTTACAATTTCACCACAAGCACGTGTGGTTCGTGCAGACCGTGATTCCTTGCGAAATTCGGTGTTTGAAGATCTAAACACCTGTTTTCTTGCCAGAAAGGGTAAAACCTATTTTTATTTTTCACAACTCTTTGGTTCTTTCGGTAAAGTCATCCATACAAAGAATATGGATTCCTGCAGTCACGAAAACTTTAAATAAAGATTATTTTTCATTCTTTGATATTGGCAACAACAAAAAGGTCCTATGATATACGTAAACAGCTTGGGGGCCGTCCATAAATGACGTCACGCGATTTTGGACGATTTTTGACCCCCCCCCCCCCACCTCGTCACACGGCGTCACAAAAAGTCAGACCCCCCCTCAAATATGACGTCACAAAGCTCTGCCCCCCCCCCCCAAACCATTATTTCCATTTTTGAAAATAAAACATGCTTCAAATCGCTTTAAACTATTGTCATTGTAGTGCGTATTTAATGTGGCGCTGCACTCTGATGTAGGAGTGTTGTCATAACAATTCTATATTTATTTAAAGTTGCGCATTTTTACGTGACGTCGCATTTCTCAAACCCCCCCCTCGTCACACATCGTCACAAAGTCTGACCCCCCCCCCCCTAGGTGCGTGACGTCATTTACGAACGGCCCCTTGGCTAAAATATTAACGCTTGGCGGATTGATGTCTGTCGCCACCTCGTGCTCACCACGTGGCACTGCAGCTGCGTGTGTTGAGCCAGACGCAGCCTCATAGAACTCGGGCGGGGGGCCCATGTGGATTTCGGCAGCAGATTACACAGTACAGCAAGTTGGACCAACTTCTTGAGGTTTGTTATGAATGGCAGGCTTTCTTTAGGTCGTGGTGGTTCATCCTTTTAAGTTGTTCTCAACAAAAACTAATGTCACCAAATCGGACTATTTGCATGGAGAGATGTTAACTACCTCGCCTGTTACGCAGGAGGTCTTGGGTTCCATCCCGACTCTGACGCCTGCTGGATATTTGGAGTTTGCGTGTCTCTCTCGCCCCGTGGTGGCGTGGATTTTTCTCCGGGTTCTCCGGTGTTTTCCCTCCACATTTAGAAACAACGTCACGCGTTTAGAGTATTTGGCTGCTGTACATTTACACGTGATGATGATGAGCCCACTTCGTCGAGCTATCGTTTGTGGCCAGGACGCTTCTGAAAAAAGAGCCATAATAAGCTTAGGGGCCGTCTATAAATGACGTCACGCTTTTTGGACGATTTTTGACCCCCCCCCCACCCCCCTTCGTCACACGACGTCACAAAAAGTCAGACCCCCCCCTCAAATATGACGTCACAAAGCTCTGCCCCCCCCCCCCCAAAAAAATAAAAACATGCTTCAAATCGCTTTAAACTATTGTCATTGTAGTGCGTATTTAATGCGGCGATGCACTCTGATGTTGTAGGAGAAAACATTTATTAAAAAGTCTCTTTAATTAAGTAGAACGTGTTTATATTTATTTAAAGTTGCGCATTTTGATGCGACGTCACATTTCTCAAACCCCCCCTCCCCCTTCGTCACACATCGTCACAAATGTCTGCCCCCCCCCCCCAGGTGCGTGACGTCATTTATGGACGGCCCCTTATTGGGGCCTTACCTGGTAAACAAAAAAAAATATTTTTTTAAGTTTACAATTCCCGACACAAGCTTTTGGCACTGGCCGGCAGCGTCGTGGTTCACAGCTCGAATGGGCCCGAGTTCGATAGGCGACTCGGGTGCCTTTCTCCGGGAGTCGTCCTCGCTCGCTCTCTGTCGCTCTCTGTCTACGGAGAGAGATGGAACGCCGTGGAGCAGTGGCGCAGCATTACAGGTTGACGTTTAACACCGAGTCGGAGGCTTTCGCGACCAATATTATCCATAACCGAGGTGTTTGGATTCGATCGCATAAATGCGTCGAAACAGGATTTCTCCACAACTCTGGCTGTCGCCTGATGATGCTGGTTGTGATCACCGGCGAAACGTCGTACTCGAATTGTAGATGTTGTGGGTTTACTCTCCCAACACAGCGGTTGTGCTGAACTAATAAAGAATTATATTCTTGGTTCTTTGGTAAAGTCACGTAGAAGATAAACAATAAAATAAGAAAAATATAAAACAATTATCACGACGTTTCGATTGCAAAACCACAGCAAGAACATTTTTTTGCTGTGGTTTTCACACCTGATGATTTTCTTGCTGTGGTTTTCACACCTGATGATTGCTTGTATTGCAATGGAAACGTCGTGAGAATTTTATTGTTTTATATTTTTATTATTTATTGTTTCCCTTCTACGTGACTTTACCGAAAGAACCAAGAATATGAATCCCTGCAGTCACGAAAGCTTTCAATCAAAATTTAGTAAAGGATTGTCACGTTTTGTTTACGTGTTAAAACCTTACCGATTTCCCGCGGCGGGTTTGACCACACGTTTATATTTACGCGATCAAATCCAACAACCCCCTTTATGGAAGTTATAACTTTTTTTGAATTGTCAAGCGTTGGGGACCCTCTTTCGACGATGGTTATCACTCGAGCCCAGAACAAAGGTCGCCGCAAGGTCACCACACCGGGCCACAACTCCATTATTGCTAAGCTGAAGGGTGGGTGGGTAAAAAAAAACCAAACAAACTTACACGAAGCAATAACTGTAATAATAACAAAAATATGTTTATTTAGAATAACATGCTGATGAAATATTACAAAATATTAAATTTAGCCTTGGATAGAAATGTAAAAAAAAATCTGTATAATAAACTAGTTTAAAAATAAAACAAATCTTACAAGCGTATTAAAGATAAATGTTAGTCGCCGGTGTGAAGGGGTTTGCCGCTGCCGGAGTACGCGTGAACAGGGCAAGGCGTGCGTAACGCAACGACCCCTTCCCCCTCCTCTGCTCGTGAGCGTCTCAAGAGAGCAGCTACGGACCGTAGCAACTTCGCAACTCTGCCCCGGCGACGTTCACTGCATTGCTGGGTGGGGTGGGGTGGGGGGCGGTGTGAAGGTGGATTTCCGAAACCAGTGCTCCTCCTTCCCATTGTTGCTGCCGCTGTTGTTGTTGTAACAGCGCATTAACATTTGAACGGGTTTAATGTTCGCCTTTTGGCGTTCTCTGGCCTAACACTGGTTGAGACTCGGCTCTAAAGAAAGCCGTCTCTGGTGTGGACCAATCAGTTTAAAAAACAACGCATCATGTATTACCAGAGCATGTTTTTGTGTTTGCATATTCACCACAAGTACGTGTGGTTAAAGCAGACATGATTCCTTGAAAAAAGATTCCGTTACGTGTTTTAACATCTGAACACCTGCTGTTTTGATTGCCAGGAAGGGTAAAACCTTTTGTAAATACGGTTCAATCCGTGCAGCATGAAAACGGGCCGAGTGCGACGCTCGATTTACGCGATTTAGGCGTTCTTCTCGGTTACCGAGCCGCTGCTGTGATCGAGCGAAGAGGTAACACCGCACCGTGCGACTCGTCATCACTACGAGCAGTGAACGTGCCCCTCGTCACCAATGTGAAGGTGCGCTTCCTGCGGGCCGTCTGGAACGTTCTTCCTTCCGGTCGACAGGAAGCCACCGGGAAGCAGGCACTTTTAAAATCGTCTCGATTGACAAGCTCGTTACGTTAGAACTGCTCTGTGCTCAAGTTTGTTTTCTTTCTCCCGTGCGAAAGAAGTTCAACATACGTACACACACACTCACACGTTCTACCATATATTTGAGCCTTGGATTGGACGCAGCAGCAGCAGCGTCATCCTCCCCCACCCCAGCACTGAGACAGAACCAGGGCCAAACGGGTTGGCCCCGTCCTGAAACCCAAAACATTTGTCAATAACACTGCCTGAGAAGGAAAACAATTATTTACAATATTTGAAGAAGGCCCATTGCCCGAAACGACGCCTATTATATACCTGTTATATATTCGGGCAACGCAGTGTTATGTTGATCAATGTGCTTGCTTGGGACGCCAATGCTAAACCAGCAGCAACAACAGCACCGCCACCGCCGCCGCACACTTTGATTAATTATCGCAGCTGCGAGCTTAAATGCCGCGAATGCAGCCGAAGTGTAAAATTGTTTCGGAGAGAGCGAGCGAAGCGCAGCCTACGAGTTTAGCGCACCAGAGTCGGCCGAGAAGACGGCGTTTTCCCACCATCGGCAACGAAACAAAACGAGCGAGCGTGCCATCCGTGGAGCCCACCGCAACGTGGTTTGTACTGCGTGCTGAATTGTCAAGCCAGTCAAGGCACGAGCCGAGCGCACGTGGAAGCCGTGCGGAGTGTGTGCACCACCTTGTTGAGGTGTTTCGGGTGAGGCGCGAGACTGCATAGACGTTTGACGTCGACGAGTGTATGGCCTTCACTCTCTCGCCACGGGGGTGGAGGCCCACACGACGCTGCCTCATTCGCGTGACGGCCTACAGCGGTGGTCTTCACTCATTTTCGGAGCGGGGGTTTGACAGCACGACGATGATGATGAGATGGGGGGGGGGGGGGGGGCACGTCAGGGGCCGCACTAAAGGCCACCAGGGGCCTGCCGGTGGCTCGCGGGCCTTGCAATGATGAACACCGGACGACACGAACCGAACCGTGTGCCTGGTGCACGCGCGTGCCGAGGAATGGTTTGGCAGTCTTGGCACGAACGCATCATTCAGACTTGAGTGCGGAAACGCGGCAGGTGACGCCACAATTCTGCACGTGACCCAATTCTGGAGGCAACACAATTCTGGAGATGCCACAATTGGGCGGGTGGCACGTCAACTCTGTGCCTTTTTGTCCACGAGCTCTCCCCCCTCCCCCACCCCGAGCTGTCAACGAGGTTTGTGTCTCATCAAGGCAAAGGTGGAGGGTTGCCACACACATTGACGCCAGGTGCCGGCGCAACAAAAAACACACATTCCCACGACTTTCACAGTTCACGTTAAGGCAGCAGAGGCCGAGTGGAGATTCGTGGCCTTTGGATGACTGAGCGACTTGTATTTTATCGGACACCAAACTCACGACAATTGCAATAAGACGAGTAGCGTTTTGTGACGTAAAAAAACAGCACGCTAGTTTTTGTTTGACGTGACTGGACAAATCTTCCCACCTTGTGTTCTTGCCGCAAAGCGATAGAACGGCTTTATTTTTAAAAAATCTTGTACTTAACGAAGATATACGCTGCACCACCACCACCACGACCGAGCCGCATTGCATTCAACCCGAGCACGGCCGCTCCTGCCCTTGGCGTGTTTGCGTGGAGCTTTTTTGTTCATGTGCCCTCTTCACGGTGCGGCCACGCGATATTTTGATATCAAATATTAGAGGGGCAGGGGGGGTGACCACGAATCAAGAGGAGCCTGCGCTACGAACCCGGCGACCCGAGAGCGATTCCCGCTCACGGCCAACAACACCGATGACGATTATCTGAACCGGTCCTCGGCCTCCCCTAGGTCGACTCAGCCTCGAACGAGCACCTGGTGCGGTGTACCGTAAACACCGCCGCAAAGGAGAGATAACGGCGGCCGGGTGTGGTGCTGGCCACCGAACCCCCCCCCCCCCCCCCTTTCGTGTGCCGTGCCGGCCTTCGTGAGGTGCTACTCGCTTACGACCCTTGCCCCAGCAGTCTGGTAAAGGCTGTACGGGGGGGGGGGGGGATGTCTCATTTGTGGTCTGGCGCCTGCGCTGGAAACGCTCGCGCGCGCGTAGATCTGGCCGTGTGCTCCCCTTGCCAACGATCAAACAAAAGCCACCAGTGTCCAACCAAACGCACGCACGCACGGCGATACCAAGCGGCCATTCGCACCACCTGCGTGTACGATTCAAATGTTTTTTGTATCGACTTTTGACATTTCCTTCATAACATCAAGAGACGGAATAAAAAAAAAAGCTCTAAAGAAACCAGCAAACACCGTGTTACCTTCACTAGTTTTTTTTACAAGCCTCTTTTTTTTGTTGTAAATTGTATTTACACACCAAGTTAAACGTGTTAGGGGGCGAGCTTTTGTTTTGACAAACATGTGATCGCTTGAAGTTTTCAACGCGCGTAAAAAACAAGCCATGTATAATTTTCAAAAGGCTGATATATAATTAATATTTTAAAAAAACCGTTCTCTTCAACAACAACAACTTTGCAAAGAGAGTGAGCGTCCGGGGAATGATAAATCTACATCTTAAATCGTGAACACGCGCGACAATAAAACGAAAAAAAAATACTGCAAATCCGCAAAACTCCTTTGAAAAAAAAAATGTACAATTTACACCGACGCCAATAACCTGCGCACGTGTGCATCGGCCAGCCACGGCGGCGACCTACGATCCGAAACCTACTTTCCTCCAACTCCCCCTCCTTTCGGAAGCACGAATCACAACATCTCCTTCTACACTTTAAGCTTTACAGGTCATTTCCCCCCCCCCCCACCCCTCCAAACCCCAGCCCCCCCCCCCCAAACTGCAGCGATCAGAAATATTTACAACGCTTTTTTTCAAACGGCGTCGACGAAGTGGCAGGCACCTCTCACACGTGCGGCGTCGCCGTTCGCCAACACGACGACAATATCAACAACAACAATATCAACAACAACAACAGAAGCTGTCCACGTTGAAGTGGAAGCCATTGCAGGCAATCCTTGCGGAACTACTTTCTCAGAATCCCCCCCCCCCCCCCCCCAGAACACTAGGATCACAATTTGCAGGAGGAATTGTGTTTACCGACCCCCCCCCCCCTCCCAAAAACCCATACAAATGCCGCCCACAGTTACAACTTTGAGTTTTGCGAGCAGCGGTGGGAGCGCTGTTAACCGGTCGCTTGTTGCGATAAGAATGCCGCGAGAATGAGTTCACGACAACCGCGTTGTCGCAATTTGATTTGAAGCAGCCGCCCAGTAAACGTGCGGCCGTTTTGGGCCCAACGTTGCTGCCAAACGTTGAGCCGACGATCTCACGCGCCCCCAATGGTTCCGGCCGCGTCGGCACCAACGTTGTTGGGACGTTCACTACTGGGAAGGTGTCTCGCGGGCTTTTAATCCGTAACGTTCATTTGAAACCTTCTGCTCTTTCATAGAACTTACGTTACAAAAAAGTCCCTAGGCCTTGATTGACCGTTTTGATTCTCTTTCAAAAAAACTAGCGGCCGTGCCGTGGCCATTTCTCCTTCCGTTCAATGGAAGGGGGCACACTCGTCAACAACGCCGGCAAAGAGCTGCGTGCGTAACAAGACGGGCATCGTCGCTTGACCGCAGGGCCGTCCAATGGGAGGGGGTGTGTGGGGCCCGGGCCGAAAGCCACACTGTGTGGGCCCCCCCCTCTCCACCCCGACACCTTCAAACTAAACCGGAAGTATTACATCTGACACCGTGATGTAAAAGCGCGGAGCCCCCCAAAGCACAGGGCCTGGGGCCCCCCAAAGCGTGGGGCCCGGGACCCAGGGCCCCCCCAAAGCGTGGGGCCCAGGGCAGTCACCCCGATTCGCCGTCCACCCTAGGGGATGCCTCTGCTTTGACCTGTTTCTAAATGTTTCCCACGCGAAGCTGACGAGTAGCTCCTCTCGCAAACCACAAACTTCAGTTTTTGTCGACGCTCATTATCACCAGGACGAGAGAAGGGACCCTTCAGACGAAGAGTCGCATCGAGCCAAACGGATGAAATGTTTTGAAATCTTGCAGCTATTTTTTTGAAATGTTTCAAAGAACCCTCTCGAAATGTGTCGGCGCGCTGCGACTTAACGAAGAGATACGCTGCAAAATTATCCACAGTGAAAAATAAATCCGACGCAGATGTTTTTTTTTCTCCCCAAGTTATACTTTGGGCATGGCCACTCAGCATGGATGTACACAATTGTGTTTAAGATAATAGTATCATTAAATAGTTTTTTTTTTAAAGCAGGTGGTTTTGTAACTTGGTAAAACCTCACTTTTGTGAGTTGATGCCAGCGTCCGTAGGACTAACATACGGAATAATTACCTTTCATAAATAGTCACGAACATCTGACAAACGCAACAAAATCTGTTCCATCGGCTCCGTCCGGTGACGAAGGGGTATACCAGCTGAACCATCGGCATTATTACCCGCACCATTTAACCCAAACGTAAATCGACGACGAGCCGCTGTAATATTGCTCGCGAAAGCCTACGGGCGAGAACGTAAGGACCAAAAAGATGTGGACGCTGGCACTGACTAACAAAAAAAAACGGTAATTTTTGTCGGCCCTTGACAAACAAAAAGCTGTAGCAGCTTAAATGAGGGGGGCGCTCTGTTCAGGGTGATACATTTCCCGGGCATACGACCTGGCCGCCACCTTGGGTGGTGAGCGCTGAAGCCGTTCGACAACACGGTATTCCCTCGGCTTTGTGTTGTTGGGGTTCAGATCGCGGTAAATATAAAACGTGTCGTTAAACCCCGCCGCCACCACCACCCCCGACACGGCCAATTAAATAAGGGGTTGGCACGTAAACAAAACGTGTCAATTAGTTCCCACTTGGGATAGTAAACCCCACATCATCTACAATTTTAGTACTGGGATGTTTCTCTGGTGATTACAACCAGCTTCATCGGGTGGTTCGTCAGAATTTTGAAGACGTCATCCTGTTTCGGCCTCGTATAGAGCAAAATTCAGTATTCCCTCGTTATTCATGAACTTGCTATCCACGATTTTGGCTATCCGCAAATTGCATCTAGAACTCTGACACGACCACTGCAACGAGAGAGATAAAGTGATGAGAGATAAAGTGATGAGAGATAAAGTGATGAGAGGGAATGTGATTAGTGAAATTGATGAGATCAAGTGATGAGACAAAGTGATGAAATAATTTTCCCGTATTTAATAGCATATTTACGTTTTTATTTAAGGTAAGGGTTAGTCAGCCAATATCATTAATGACCACCTTCAATGTAGTCGTTGCTCTCCATCCACATCAGCCGGATGAAAGAAAGCTTATCCGCAAAAAATGTGCTGTTCACGAGCACCTCCGGAATGTATCCCTCGCGAAATGAACGGGGGAACACTGCGCCTGATTCTTCAAAGAATCGCCACCGCTGACGGTTTCAAACGGCAAGTTTCAACGATCGTTGAAACTGCGAGCGATCAAAAAAAAAACGCCACGGTGCAAATCGTACAAAACCTGGCTTCCTGCAAGAGACTTCGCTCCAATACGGGAAACTATTTTGCTAAATACGCGAGGCCGTTGGGAATGTATACGGCACGCCCCTCATTTGAGAGAGTGGCTTGCGCAAGAGCAAACAGGGTTGTTGTTTTTTTTGTTCCAATAGTTACCCGTGTTCATTTTGCACACACCGAGTTTTAATAACGTTGGGGAACAGCTCGCGCGTAAGCCATGCGTGGTCGCGCGATGTTAAGCTGCTTTGTTGAGCTATCGTTTGTGGCCAGGTCGCTGTCTGAAATAGAAGCTAATTGCTCAGTGGGCCTTACCTGGTAGAATATAGTTTAGTTTAACATAACAAATTTTTTGTGATTTGCTTACCTTACCTATATTTTGGACTCCGATCGTGTTTTTGTACAGTTTGTTATTTTAACTTTCTGATCCTCCCCGAATGGACATCTGTGAAAATGAGCTTCATAGCTCATCGGATTCCTCCAGTCCAGTACAAGTAAATATTATTATTCTGTTGCTTCTGATCTTCTGGCTTTGTTGAAACACTGCAAAAGGATTAACTGCGCCAGTCACATTCGGACTTTGGTAAGAATGCGAAGAGGGTCTGTACGCGCAAGGCTTGACAGTCAAAGAGTCCTTGGTTGGTAAGGGCGTAGCAATTAATCGGGCAGTTACAACATTGTATTCAGACCAGCACCCAGTCTATAACTATAATATAAACTATCTTTTTAGTTTACCAGGTAAGGCCCACTGAGCTGTAGAGCTATTTTTCCAGAAGCGACCTGGCTTTCACAAATGATAGCTGAACGCAGTGGCTTATGATCATGTGGAAATTTATAGCAGTCAAATACCCTAAACGCACGTCGATTTTGAATGTGGAGGGGAAAAAAACCAGAGGACCCGGAAAAAAGTCCATGCGACCACGGAAAGAACTTGCAAACTGCAAATATACAGCAGGCTTCAGGGTCGGGATTGAACCCACGACCTCCTGTATACCAGGCGAGGTAGTTAACATCTCACCACTGTGGCACCCTCGGACTCAGAACTTTGCATTGCCCATCTCTGGGTCTGCGCAGTTACACAAGTGTTGAGACAGCAGATGCCAAGTTAACATCTTGCAACACCAATATTTGTTTCCTTCGATATTTGAATCAAGTTGTAATCTTAAGTTAACTGCACTGATGGGCAGGATGCTCACAAAAGCTGACAATACATTAAATATAAGGCAACGACTGTTTTTTGTTAACGCTAACAACCACCTTTCTTGGAATCCTCACAACTAAAAGCGAATGGATTTGTTGTTTTTGTTGGCCTGCTCGGACTGAACGTGCCAACTCCCACTCTCGGGCCAACGTGAGAAATCGCGATGACGAAATCGACAGTGATAGCGACGGCGCCAACAGGGGGTGTTGGCTATCGTTCAGCTTGCTGCAACGTAATCACGCGGCGGCGGTGACCTTGCAGAAGTGTTTTAAACAAACGAGAGAGTTCCTACCGCTGGCGTGAGTAACACTCTTTCTAATCACAAGCACTGCGGGGGCGGCAGCTGCAGTATCACCGCGCACACGCAGCTTGCTTACGCCTGCGTTACGACGCAGCTTTTACGATCCTGCAAGAGGAGGGAATGATGGAAACACACTCTGACCTACGGGGGGAGGGGGGGGGGAGTGGTATAGCAGCGTCAGCCCGGCTGCTGCTGCTCCCGACGGCAACTGTTTTTGATATTCGAACACGGCCTCAAAACGCAGCCACGGCGGTCCCGCTTCGGCACGTTTAAACTGCTTAGACATTTGAACGCGCCGACATGGCCACCTATGCACGACGGCCCGCTCGCGCGTGCGCGCTTCCGCATCGCGCCCTCGACGGTCGCGCCGCTGACACCTCCGTGCCAACTCTTCCGAGCCTCAGGATGCACGGTCAGACCGGCGGGGTTCCGAAAACCTCAACGGCGCCCCCACCAGCCAATCGTCGTCGCCGTCGTTGCTGTCACAGTGCGAGAAACCGGCCGTGGCCCTCGCTAGCGGACTGCCTCGCGAGCCGGGCTTGCCACGCGGCTCGCCGTGGGCCTGCGAAGCAGCCGGTTGTAGGAGGGGGCTCCAACCCCCTCGTGGAGGCTGGCCCTTACAAATCGTCTCTGCTTTCCAGACGCTTCAGCTTCAGCGCATTTGCGATACGCTCGCCATCCGGCGGACCCGGGCTCTCGGGGAAGAAGGTGGGAGGGGTTTCGGTGAACGCGTAAACGGAGGAAGCGACGGAGAGCTGCGTAGTCTCAGGTGGCCGTGCGGGGAGGTGGCGGCGCTCAGTGGATGGTGGCACGGAGCTCCGTCTGCCCACGCAGGCGCTTCAGGTGGCAGCCGTGGCACAGCAGCCGCCCGTCCAACGGGTAGCAGCGGTGCCCCTCCTCGTCGCTCAGCTGCAGGCTGCAGTCCTACGGTCGCGCACACACACACACGCACGGGTCACACACACACACACGATGCGCGAACATGTGGCGAAGCGCGTGCGGCACGCGGCGCTACGTGCGCACGCAAGAGATGTGCAAACTCTGATGATGATAATGGACAGTGCATATCATTATCATCATCAGAGTTGTTTCTTTTTGTTTGCATTTTGACTGCTTGTGTTGTGGTTATTGCAAACATGATGCCTTGTATAAAGGTGTCAGTTTTTGTACCAGTTGAAAGGGTAAAAACCCATCACTATACATACATTTTTTTATAAACAATTTTTCTTATAAGTGTTTGGCAGCTCTCTCAAACACGGGTGCGAGAAATCGATTTGAAACCAAACGAACTCTCGGTTGCCGCTCGAACGTCAAGCCCCCCCCTCCCTTCCTCGTTACTTTGAGGAGCAAACGGCCGGCAAACAAAAGGGGGGGCGGGGGGCTGCGCAAACGGAATGAGGAGAATGTTGGGGCGTTGGGCGCGTTTGGGCAGCTCCCACAGATCCCCTGGATCAATGACGATGGCGGCGGCGGCCGCTTTCATCATCGCAAAGCGAATGCCTGCACGGAAAGAGACGGCCGCTTCCCTGACTACAACTGCAGCGACAGCGTGAGCTGCTTGCCTATCAAGAGTACAATACACGCGATAATACACACAACAACACGCACGTTCAACAATACACACAACAATACAACAATACACACAACAATACAACAATATAACAACACGCACCTTCAACAATACACACAAGAGTACAATACACATGATAATACACACAACAACATGCACGTTCAACAATACACACAACAATATAATACACACAATACAACAATACACACAACAATACAATAATACACACAACAACACGCGCACATTCACCAGCAGGTCAAACGACGTTTGTTGTGCGGCCCAAAGCAAACATTTTTACAAATTGCCCCGGATACAGAATCACAAAGGCAGGGATGCCCCGTATAGCCTTTAACAGATGTTTGGGGCAAGTGCTATTAAGCGATTTACACCTATGAAGGCTGGCACAGCCCACGAGAGGGTGGGTGGCCAGCGCCACACCTGTCCGCCTTTGTCTCCCTAGTGCCGATGTTTACACACTGTGCCAGGTACTCATTTGAGGCCGAGTCGACCTAGGGGAGGCCCAGGACCGGTTCAGATATTCAACACTGGTTTCGGCCGTGAGCGAGAATCAAACCCCGAGCCGCCAGGGGTTCGTGCCGCAGCGCGCTAACCGCTGCGCCACCGCTCCCCCCCCCCCCTCCAGAACCACAGCCACACCTCTTTGAAACGCTCGCTTGCACCTGCGCCTCCGTGCATTCTGCGATTAGCGAAACGTCTCTCATCGCGAGACCCGGCTTTGTGTCTCTCACTCTCGATTACTCACGCGCGGCCCTGTTCAAACGCCACAAAACAGACAATGCGGCTGGCCCCCCCACCCCTAGCCACTTTCGTCCTTCCATGTAAAAGGGATAGTGTTTTTTTAACCGTGCCATTACCCGCACAGCCCTGCGGGAGTCGAATTTCCTCAGCAGCAGCGCTGGTTTAATACGAGCATTAACTCTGGACTCGTTTCAACGTGTCAAAAACTCATTGACTGGCTGAAAGATCTTCGTATATGGAGGACGGCAGACATTGGGCAACCGTCAGTAGTGCCGGGCTCACTGTCTAGCTGCCTTCACGCTCGTTTGTGGTCCCTCGCGCCTCTCTCTTCCAGAGTAAGCCAATACCGTGCTGCCCGTTAAGAGTTAAATTGAACATTATTATTATTCATCGGCAGATTCAAGCTCGCTTAAAACCACCGCTTTAAATGTCGTCTAGTAAGTTCAGACGAGCGACGGAAACTAATCGTTCCATCGTTCGGACAGCACGCAAGACGGAAACCTTACGGTGAACATTCATTCAAAGGGTGGAGGATATTGTGCCCCTGCCAGACATTACGGACCTTGTCTTCCTCTACCGCAAGTGGCCAAACTTAAACCGCAATCCTCGCCGGTGAATTTGCAACAATACCACAAGAAATGTGCCTCCGGACCCTGGAGACCACCTGGAGAGGATTCCAGGCGCGCGTGGGGACATTAACGTACATTTGTTATCATGTCACAGTGTCTTATCCGTTCTTTTCCCATTAAAAACACTAGTCCCATTTAAGTGTTAACGTGTTTTTGAAGCACCCTGTATATTCTCTTTGAAAGTCGGCAGAGCGCACAAACGCACTCGACGTGCATCGACGACACGCCAACGCACCGAGAGGGATGCACCGAAAAGTGAACTCAAAAAAACAACTCGTAACGCTTGCGAAAAGTTGCTCGATAACCTTTACACAGACTTTTCCGTGCCTCCGGTTAGCGCGGTTGGCTACGTACGGTGTGAAAGCAGTTTAACATGCGTACATACATCCACACATACGTGCAAATCTGGAAACAAACGAGCGTACAGACGCGACAATACGCGCGTAGGAACAGTGACGTAACGTTGGCGTGCCGAGCACGCCCGACGTTTCCCGCTACGTTTCCGCTGTTGAGGGCAACTTGCCGTGTGAATGTAATATCGTCGTCCGGTGCGAAAGAGGATCAACGTACGTACGTACACCCGTCAGGCCAAAAACGGGGTTACAACTCTCTGGGGGTTTAAGTGAATGCACGACTGAACCGTCGTGAAACTTCGAGGGCAACGAAGACTTCACTTACTTCACAGTGGTAGCACTCCACGTGGTAATCGTTGTCCATGGACACCACCCGTATGGTCTCTTCAGTGTCCTGGGCCAACACGACAAGGAGCAGGCACACGTTCACAAACAAGCGGCCCTTTCGAAAAATCACCGAGAGTTAAGAGACCTTCAATAAACAATAACAAAGATTCCCCCGTGTAGCCTTAACAGACTGCAGGGGGTCAACGTGCTGTTAGCGAGCAGCAACCTACGAAGGCCCGACATGGCGCACGATGGCGGCGGGTGGCCAGCACCACGCCCGGCCGCCTTTGTCTCTCGCCAGTGGAGAGGTTTACACACCGCACCAGGTACTCATTTTAGGCCGAGTCAACCGAGGTTGAGGCCCAGGACCGGTTCAGATAACCTTGTCACTGGTGTTTGGCCGTGAGCCAGAATCGAACTCGGGTCGGCACTGCGGTAACTGCTGCGGCAATCGTCGAATATCAACACACACACGCCGCAAACGCCGCTGAGCCTCACGACCTTTCATGTGCTACCAGCAAGGGTAATACCAGGGCCAGTGGGGTGTTCTAAATTTGGAGACAGCCACAGTGTCAACTGCAGGGGTCGGTAACCAAAATAACAGGAGGCATTTTTTTCGAATTCGGTAAAACCCCAATTTTTTTTTCTATATTTCAAGAGCCACCAATGTGCGTGAACAACGTAAACATTGTAAAAAAATAATAATAATAATTAAAAAATAATAGCTTTGACCCTTTCTGGCAATAACACAGGTGTTAAGATGTTCAAACACCAAATATAAACCTTTTGCAAGGAACCATGTCTGCATTAACCACACGTACTTGTGGTGAACATGCTCAAAGAGCCAGCCAAAACATCTCGCGCTTTCAGATACGCTTCTGCGGCCGTCTGGAACGCTCTTTCCTTCCGATATTAGGAAGCCACTGGAGCTACGCACTTTTAAATCATCTAAATCAGTCATTCTTAACCTTGACTGCAGCCTGCATCCCCCTTTGGTTCTCAGAAAGGGCATCTCGCACCCCCAGGGCGTGCGTGCACCCCAGACTCAGAACCACTCATCATCTAGCCTGACAAACCCATTTCTTTGGAACTGCTTTTTGTGTTGGGTTTTGTTGCTCCGGAGCCGCAGGTTGACGACTTCTGCGTTACTCTCTCTCACTCTCCGCTCCCTCGATTAACATCCTTTCGTCATCTACATTTCTTCTTCCCCTCGTCCAACGAGCTATTTATTTACACGTGACGGTACGGCGCCTTGCAGAAAGGAACTTTATAAGTGTAATTGATTATTGTTATCTTTTGAACTATCGATTAGTTTACCTGGGCTGGCAGGATGGGCTGGCCACAGGCGTTGCACCTCGGAGCAAACATCCTGTGGGGGGGGGGGGGGGAGACAGAAAGCCGTAACACCGTGAGCCAAGGCGACGCACGGTCCAGCACACGAACCAAAACGAGGAGCAATCTGCGTCTCCAGCCTCGTAAGCATGCGGCCGGCACAAAGCGGTACTCTTTTTATCGACCCCTCTCCCGGAGCGATGATGGGCTGAGTCAACCCCCAACCTGGATTTAAATTCTCAGATCTTCCGATTGCGAACCGGGTAACGGACGCTCTGCCGTTGACGTCACCGTTACCAGATGACATATATCCTACGCACAACACCGTTATCGCGGACGCACGGTAGAACCATCTGTAACGTATTGAAAGCAATTAACACTGGTGGTGGTGGTGGGGGGGGGGGATAAACCACCTTGCACCTGCACCATGACAATAGGGGATGGGTGGGTGGGTGGGGGGGTGGATATGGAGCCGACCACCACTGCACTTGGGGATGGGCCTCCCCATTGTGAAGGAGAGGAGAGCTGAAGGCCACTTGAGGGTGGGTGAGATTCCACTCTCAAGCAGCCCCAGCGGATCGGTTACAAACACATTCCTCAGAGCTTCGGGGAGAAAAGACAGTTTTTTCGGCCCAACCACATTCTTGCATCTTTCGCTGCTGGAAGCGTCCTTTCAGAAACGAAGCAAAAAAAAAACCCGTCAACATTCGTCAATAACAACACTGTGTAGCCTTTAAAAAAATAAAAAACTATACATATATGTAGGACAGGCGACGTCGCGGGCAATGGGCCTACTTCATGGGCCGTGTTATTGACGAATGAGTTGAGTTGGCTTTGATGTGTGCTTGTGCACCGTACTGCCAAACGCAGCAACAGCCCTGCCAAATAATAAGTTTAACTCATGTCAATCTAGATTTGAAGCTTTCGTGACTGCAGGAATCCATACTCTTTGGTTCTTTCGGTAAAGTCACGTAGGTATAAAATAAAGTAAATCGCGACGATTGCTTGCAACACAAGCAATCATCATCAGGTGGGAAAACTCATGTTGTTTACGCATCTCATCTGCGCATCTTAAACGCACACAACACCGCGTGGAGTTCGTCAATACTATTCATCTCCTATGGGACATAAGGCCGTGCGAGCGTGTGTGTATATATGCAACGCCGGTTGCATCAGAGACAGACACAGCCCCTTGGCTAATCCACTGCTGGATGAATGCCTCCGAACGCCTTTGCCTATGCCTATCATGGAGGTTGTTTCACTCCGTTACAATGCTGGTAAGTGCAGGGAGGCAAAGTGGGGGGGGGGGGGGGGGGGGGGTTTCAAGACCTGTTCAGAAATCACTTTGCCACCGATGTTAGCACCCCCCCCCCCACCCACGCAAGTGCAGTGCACCGACCACTGCGCCACGTTTCCGGGGGAGCCGCGTGACAATAGACAATTAGCTCATCGGGCGATCCCAATCCTTTGAAGTCGTTAATAACGACACGACCGCACGCTGCTAAAACTCCTTCCTACTTGCCCCCCCCGCCTGCCCCCCCCCCGGAGGATCCCCCTCTGGGTGGGGGCATTGAGGATTATTTTTTGCCCCTCGCCATCCCGACATCTGTTGCAAGCGCCGGAGAGCTTCCCCCCCTTTACCCTCACGGTTTTTCTGTCCCCCCCACCTCCCCCTGATGCCCCCTGCACGTTGTACCGGACGTGTGTGCGTGGCTAAATAAAAACACATTACATCTCCATCTCCATATATATATATATATATAAAAGGCAAAGTTGTGAATATGTGTGTCTGTTCAAAATGTTTAGCGTACTTCCCGACATGCAACAAACTGGAAATTTGCCATGTGGGTACTTTCCAGACTGTACACCATTCAAACATTATGAAAATACACTTTTTTTGGAGGGGGGGAGCTCAATAATGCATATATTTTTTGTATGGCAAGTGAACTGTGACGTCACATCTGTCACGTGACCCGCGCATGTGGAAGCGTAACGCATTGTAGTGTCGTGGTTAGCGCGCTGCGCTACGAACCCGGCAACCCGAGTTCAATTCCCGCTCACGGCCACCACCGGTGACAATTATTTTAACCGGTCCTGAGCCTCCCCTAGGTCGACTCAGCCACAAACGAGTAACTGCTGTGGTGTGTGAACATCGCCACTGGGGAGGCAAAGGGGGCCGGGCGTGGTGGATCCAAGTCTCGGGCGAAGCCGGGTAGCGAGTATATATATGCAAAATAAAAAAATATATAACGAGACTGCACCGAGCATACGCGACGATGAGGTCCGGTCCCTACTAGGCAGCCGCGTATAAACGTTCCCCTCCCTCGCGTGAACACACATCATTCAAAGGGGGTTGGGTGATCGTGTTTTTAAAGACGAGAGGACCACAGTGCAGGGCAACTTCTGATGCTTGTTCCGCGTAATGCCGAGTGCCTCTCACATGTCATTCGAAACTTGGTATTTTTCCCGGCCTCAATTATTTTGCCGTTACGATAGGGATTTTTTTTTTCCCCTCATCGTTTACGCATTCGAAAAGAACGTCCGGCGATAGTTTTGTAACGTTCTTTACGTGTATTTTTAACAACCATTTTTTAAATAACCAACAAATGGGGGCCAACTGTACCACGCGGAGGCGTAGGGCAGCCCAGCTGCAGTCAACCGATCGGCGTTATTCTTTACTTTGAAAAAATTCCCGTGGAAATCGATCACCCCCCCCCTCGGTCATTGACCGTTTAACAACCCTAGGAGAGACAAAGGCGGCCGGGCGTGGTGCTGGCCAGACCTTCATAGGTGTGTGCTAACAACACTTGCCCCAAAAGTCTGTTCAGGCTATATGTCGGATCTTTGTACTCGTCTTTGTGTGGGGGAGCGGTAGTGTAGCGGTTAGCGCGCTGCGCTACGAACTCAGAGACCCCAGTTCCATTCCCGCGCATGGCCAACACCAGTGACGGTTATCTGAACCAGTCCTGCACCTCCCATAGGTCGACTCAGCTTCAAATGAATACCTGGTGTGGTGTGTAAAAAACATCGCCACTTGGGAGACAAAGGGCTTTGGTGTTGGCCACCTACCCCCTCATGTGCCGTGCCGGCCTTCATAGGTGCTACTCACTAACAGCACTTGCCCAAAAAGTCTGTTCGGGCTCTACGGGTGACCTTTGTCTTTGTGCGTGCTTGCGTGCGTGCAAGTGAGCGGTGCCGTGCGACGGTACTTGTGGTAGTCGCGCACGCAGTAGATCTTGTTCTCCACGTCCACGGTGAAGGGGACGCCGTCCAGGCACTTGTTGCAGACCACGCAGCGGAAGCAGCCCGGGTGGTACGACCGCCCCAGCGCCTGCAGGATCTGAGAGAGCACGAGGAGGAGGAGACGCAGAGCTCCCGTTACATCACCGCGGGGACACGCTGCACCGCACAGCCCGCGGGCCGGGAGAGGCTTTCCGATTGGCCCGCCGAAGCCACGGCCCCCGCCGGCAACGGCCGAGAGAGACGCGGTTTAGCCGAGGGGGTGGGTGGCCGGTTTGCCGAGGCGTGAAGATAGCGCAGATGAGCGCGAGATGGTAGCGCGATGAACAAGAGGGACGAGAGAGAGTGGCAGATCAGAGGGCCCGCGTGTACGGGGCAACCGCTGTGGTAACAAACGCGAGCGAAACGTCCTGCGGCTGCCTTGGGCTGCGGTCGTCCTTGTGGCAGAGCTGCTTGGCTCAAAGGGGCCTTTGCCATTGACAATCTAAACCGATCCTGGGTACCGGGTTCACCAACATTTCCCGCGGCCAAGAGGCGTCTTGGGGAGGCCTTTATCCAGCGGGGGGGGGGGGAACAGAATAGCTGTGACTGCAGTGGCGGTTGTTCGCTACGAGGAGCAGTACACCGGCGACCGAGGGCCCGCGCCCCGCGTACCATCTCCATGATGAGGTGTCCGCAGCCGTAGCACTTTTCCGCGCTCTGCTGGAAGCCCGAGTACTGTGGGAATAAAGCACAAGGAGATCGTTCAACTACGAAGCGGCGAGTCGACGCGGTTTCCCGCGTCGCTGGGCGCGGGGGACCGGCGCCTGTTTCCGGTTTTACAGCCCTGGCTCAGCGACAGAAATTCACATCCCCGTTGTGTGTGGGAGGCGGTCCATCCGCACGAGGATCGTTGTCAACGTGCCACAAAGTAGTACGCACTGTAGCGGCCACAGAGGGATGAGTCGACCTCTGACCTGGATTTCGATCGCAGCCTCTGGTGCACCACCCAGCCAGGTTTTGTCATTATGATAATAGTACAGGCAGAGCCGTCCCTAGGGAGGGCGGCGGATCGGGGCAACTGCCCCGGGCCCGCCGCATTGGGGGGCCACGCGCTTTGACGTCACGGTGTCAGATGTAAAAGAGTAAGGTGATACCATCACCTCATTCAATTTAAGACCGGAAACAGGAATACTTCTTAACAATTCTGGCAAATACGCCTGATGAGGCTGGTTGTAATCACCAGAGAAACATCGCAAGTACTCAAACTAAATAGTACATTTTTTTACGTGACAAACCCTTCCTAACTGGCTGTGTCTGGGGCGGCGGTGGTGGTGCGGTCACGTCGCTAAAGTTCTCTTGCGGTGTCTTTAAAAACAACGGCGCTGCTACGCCTCGCTAGTGATAAAATGTAACACCGAACCGCTCGCTCGTTCAAGTGATTCAGCACCGAACGGGAGACGTCTCTGTATGGGGAAAGGGGTTTCAGGCGACGTGTCTCTGCGATGCACGCGGCGGCATTCGCCACCGCACTGTGTTCTCACGACGACGCCTGCCCACCTCCTCCGCGATGACGACACGCGCCAGTTTCATCTCCCGCCCGGGCTGCACACGCGTCGTTTTCCCCTCTCCGACCACGCATCCCTTCCCCGCCCCGCGGATTGCTCAATTCCCCGTCAAACAGAAACCGATTTGTCGAACGGGGAAGACACGGCAACAGCGTGTCTTGCGCATCAAATAATACCCGCGTGATCCTGATTGCGTCGAGCGGTGGAAAATTTAAGGCGGTTGTCACGCCGAACCTGTGAACCGGGTGGGACCTGGGTTCGACTCCCGGCCATGTCTGTAACATCGGCGGCGGGCGAGGGATATCTGAACCAGTCCCACCCACCGATTCGCCAACCCGCATTGACCGGCGTGGGGAAGTATGGTCAAACAACACCCCCCAATCATCAACACAGACAAAATGGATCCAATATTTTACTATTATGATAATCGAATAACCCTACCACTGCATAACTATTAACTATTGTTTATTTTACCAGTTAAAGCCCTCTGAGCTATGTAGCTCTCATAAGCGACCTCGCCACAAATGATAGCTCAACGAAGTGGTCTACCGTGTGGACATTTAGAGCTGCCAAATACGCGCACGTTGATTCTAAATGTGTTCTTACCAGATAGTCTTCCTCGCAGTATATTTTTCCAGTCACGTTGTAGAAGGCCTTTCCCCGGAGTGTCCGACCTGAATCAAACGAAAAATCAGAACACGTGTGAAGTTGTTACCAGGTGTGGGGGAGAAAACGTGACACAATAAAAACGATGCGGTCAAACCTCGGCATAACATCTCAAGGAACCGGAAACATCGCTCGGTGTTTCACTAATTAAGATTGTATTTACAAAACGAAATAGGAAATAAACGTGAAACGAATGTGGTAGGTGTCGAGTATGGAATTTAACACGTGCTGTTGATATTTTTTGTTAAGTTTCTTGTCCGATCTCTCCCGCACCTCCATTAACACGGTTGGCTACGTACGGTGCGAAAGATGTTCAACATACATACATATGTATGGTAATTTATAGATTATTAGATAATTAGTTAAGGTATGCTCGGCATCCTCCCACCATAAAGGGAAAGGCTCTCTCTGACCAAGTATTCCGAGTTTCAATAAGGTTTTAACGTATTTTTGCGCCGTTAATATGAAGAGAACACGCTTTCAACGTGTCCAACAGGAGGTGCCACTTGACCAGTCGCTGTGTTAATTTCCCATGGGAAATAAATCCAGGCGAATATGAATGTTCTAGGGAATATACGCAGACCAATTCAGTGCTTCTTACAAATGTTGTTTGCCTGATGAATGTCGTACAAGCTTTCACATGAATAAGTGCCAATTAATTATTGTAGTCAGTATATTTTAATATTTTAACTAGAGATGTGTTCATGATTTTTGGATGAAAGGTTTGAAAATCGCACCTAGATATGAAGTATTGGATGATACGGAAAAAAAACTATTTGTTTCAGATTTATCCCAAAGTATGATGTCACAGGAAATTATGTCACTTATATGATGTCACTTCCGTGCTTTCCGCCATAATTGGGGTCGTGTGCCAGTGACTTTTCTTAGTGAGAAGCGAAGTTAAATAAAATTTATCGCGTAATGAAAATGATCCAAAATCTGAACATGTCCTTAAAAATCCAACATCTGAAATTTTTTCATCGGAAACCCATCCCTATTAAGTATCATTGACAACCACGCGGAAACTTGGAAAAAACAGTGAATCATAGGGCAGGAACTAATTTATGAAATTACGTAACTTTTGATTCAAATCTGTCTTCAAAGCACAAGGTTTTAAAATGATCCTAAGATGTCGACAATATTTCCCTCGAGTATATCCTCAAAATTATTTCTGCGTATAACCTACGGCATGCTTCCCAGGAATCGCTATAGCCGTAAACAATTACAATTTATATCACAAACACCCATAAGGATTCATTCATCAATGTGCCTCGACTCAAGGTTTAGGAAGTTGGCAAAGGCTTTTAGATTTTTTTTTGACCACCAGTTAAAGTGGGAATGTGAATGCGCATTGCCCAGCCAAGGCATCAACAGCAGCCACTGCTGCTTCAGTGGCTCCCTAATACTGTATCGGAAGGAGACGTGCAAAATCAATGCATGACCTCCCAAGATCTGCTTTTACAACACAAATTAGTTGGCGACGCGTCTGCGTTGTCATTATTGCACATTAACACAACAGAAAAACTCAACAAATTCGTCTACAACAACTTTGAGGCCTTAAAAAGATTAAATATAATGGCCGACGTTTCGGCCAGTGTCTCTCTTCATCATTATACATGTGCGTGTTTTTCTGTTTAAGGTCAGTGTTGCTGATCAATGTGTCGAGTGTTTTGCTCCAATTACACTAATCCTAGCATCTTCTCTTGAGGTCACCGACCACAATGGGTGCCCACTCCCGTGGATTTATCAGTGAGCTGTCCCCCCCCTCCACCGCCCCTGCTTGCCTTGCGTAACACCGAAACAAAATGTGCGACGGATTCCTCCAATGCTTCGTGCCGTCGAATTTGCACTGTGCGGTCCCTCGCCAATTTACCATCCCTCCACCCACTCAAGTCCGTGCGTTCCGTGAAGGGGGTACGCATTCGCTGCCAATCGACGAGTCGTCAGGACGCATCAGTTCGCTCTCGCGCGCCGTGCAACGTGAAACAAAAAAAAACTCACAGAGGAGGAGAAGGAGGGCGTTCCTCACAGAGAAGAGAAAGAATGAAAACGTGCCAAGCGATTTGGTAGCCTCGGGGAGTTCCTTTCACTCACAGCATTCTCCCCCCCTTGATCTCCGTAATGTGCAGGGCGCACCGGTGGCGAGATGTTAACTCCCTCGGCTGGTATGCAGGAGGTCGTGGGTTTGATCCAGACCCCAACACATGTTGTATATTTGGAGTCTGCGTCTCTCTTTTCTCTGTATCCCCGTGCTCGCATGGATTTTTCTTCGGGTCCTCCGGTTTCTCCCCCCCCCTCCCCACATTTTAGAATCAACGACACACGTTTAGAGTACTTGGCTGCTATCAATGTCCACGCATTTGTGATGGCCAGGTCGCTTCTGAAAAAGAGCTACATAGAGCAGCTCAGTGGGGTCTAACCAAGTAAAACATATAGACGTATAAATAGTGGGCATCGTCGCTCGACTTGCATCCCGTCAGGAGGGATTTGAGTGCTCTGAGGTTTCCCCCCCCCTCATTCCCAGCCCTCATCCCCCAACACAAAACTAGTTTTGCTAGAAAAGTGCGGCTGAAAATGCTGTGCGGTATTCTCGACCAAAATCGGCTCACAATGCTGTTTTTTTCTTTCTTTAAAAAACTTTCAAAGGTTTCAACGGTTTGAGTTTTTTGCACGATGGAGGCCGTGAAATGTTTTGACGGTCGCATTTCGAAAAAAAGCGGGCCAATCGAACGGAAGTCGCAAACGGGGTCGAGCACTTTTTTTTTGGCGGCCAGAGTTCGGCGCGAGGCGAACGCCGAGAAAAAGTTCCGCGCAAACACGCTCCTTTACCCCCCCCTCTGACGGGATTTCACAAGTTGGAATAAAAGATTGTGCAATTCACAAACAATAACTGGAAGAAAAAAAACTGTCGTTTTTTAAAGGTCCACTGTTAAAAAAAAACTTCCTTGAAATGTGACGAATTTTTCAGTGTCGCTGCGTTGGCAGCGGCGCACAAGCACGATTAACGACAAAAAAGCAACGTGCCGATGCCCTCTGAAATGATAGCTCTGAAGGACAAGCGTTGAAGCCGATCCGCACGAATTATTTCTTGAATGGTGGCCCTTCGTCTGCCCGTCTGAGCCTCGGGCAATGACACCGAGCCCGTAGTCTGTTCTCGCAGCGGTGCCTTCAGGCGAACTCTCCGAAACCAAGGGGCTTAGCGAGTGAATGGGAACAGACACACGATACCTACGTTTTCTTGTCCTTCCCCACCCCCTATCCTCCCACCGCACCTCCGATTAGCACGGTCGGCTACGTAGGGTGCGAAAGAAGTCCAACGTGGGTACGTGCATGCGTGAACGAGGGCGGGGAGGGATCTCACTCGTGTGCACGCCTCCTCATTCATCACGCGACAACGCGAAGACTGACAACGGTGCTCGTAGGACGCGCGCCACGCGCCTACTTATCACTTGAATAAAATAATGATGACAGCCCTCTGTAAATCCACAGCTGAACGATGGCTCTCCCCCCCCCCCCCCAAGAAAACAATCTCAAAAACGCACACGTGCCGGGAAAAGCGGCACGTCACCATTGCTCTCCGAGGCAACGTCGGCGGCGCTGTGGGGTGGTGGGGGGGGCGGCACTGCGCGGTGGTGGGGGGGGGGGCGGCGCTGTGTGGTGGTGGGGGGGGGGGGGCGGCGCTGTGGGGTGGTGGGGGGGGCGGCACTGCGCGGTGGTGGGGGGGGGGGGCGGCGCTGTGTGGTGGTGGGGGGGGGGGGCGCTGTGTGGTGGGGGGGGGGGGGGGCGGCGCTGTGTGGTGGTGGGGGGGGGGGGGCGCTGTGTGGTGGTGGGGGGGGCGGCGCTGTGGGGTGGTGGGGAGCACTGTGTGGTGATAGGAGGCAGCACTATGGGGTGGGGAGCAGTGAGCAGTGGGGCGGTGGGTGGGGGGCTTACCGCAGGAGCTGCAAGTGAAGCACGACGTGTGGTAGAGGTTGCCCATGGCTTGGCATGCCTGGCTGGAGCCGTACACCCCCTTGTTGCACTTGACGCACATGCCTGCGTCCGGCACAACGCACGACGGCAGCGCGCACGCAAAACAACAAGCGACGTCGTCGTCATCATCGTCCGTCGCTCCATGAATAACGCCCACTCCCGTGTCCACAGGTCGGGAGGTTAACTACCTCGCCTGGTCTACAGGAGGTCGTGGGTTCGATCCCGACCCCGACGCCTTCTGTATATTTGGAGTTTGCGTATCTCTCTCCCCGTGGTCGTGTGGATTCCTGTCCGGGTCCTCCAGTTGTTCCCTCCACGTTTAGAATCAACATCACGCGTTTAGAGTATTTGGCTGCTATAAATTTCCACATCATTGAGCTATCATTTGTGACAGCCAGGTCACTATACAGCTCAGCGGGCCTTACCTGGTAAAAAAAAATAAAACGTTTCAACCTGGGGCTGCTCACGGACCATCACCACACCTCCTATTAGCACGGTTGGCTACATACAGTGTGAAAAAAGTTCAACATACAAACACACACACACACGCACATACATCCTCTCATTCGATCGCCAGGCAATGCCAGGATGTTGACAGGAAGCAAAAATGACTCGCGAGCATGCGGTGGGCCATACCCCGCATTGTTGCGCCACTTGTTAACGTCGCAACTCTACCTCCAAACGACAACGACAACAACTTTTATAACGCCGCCTTTCACCGAAGGACCACAGAGCGCTGTAGGCGTGGAAATGTCAACACTCCAGAAAAATACAAATAAACTCAGAATGCACCAGACCAGACAAGACTCGGCAATTCGGGTGAAGAGATCGCACCGCGTCGTCGCTCGAGGTTCCCCGCAAAGGACCCGATGGCGTGAAGGGGAGGTCTCAACGGTGGCCCCCCCCCCCACTCCCCCCCCCCCCGCCCCCCACCAAGGCTCACGGACATGGCTGGGGAGGGCACCCCCAGGGCCCCCCCTACGAAAACTATCCAAACACCTTCGCCTGGTTATTATCTAAAATCTGCATCTCAAATATCGGATCGTCACAATATTTAGGTGAAATCGCAATTGTGGCAACGGGCTTTTCCTTTTTCTTCTTACCAAAAGTTTTTCAATGTTGGACCGTGGGCCTGCCCTGCGATTTTAATGGAGCCACGTGGAATTCCTCAATTTTTTCACGGAAATGGCAACCGCTGCGTTACGTAAGGAGCGAGAGGCGCCAGCGTTCGCGTGCTCAGCCAGGGCATCTCCATGGATGGTCCCCCCCCCCCAGGAAGGTTTCCCCCCCCCCCCCCCCCCCCACTATCGTTCCCACATTGCAGTATTTTTTTAAATGTGAAATAGCCAGGACAGCCAATCCCCGTGTTAGGTTCACATTGGATCGCATAGCGGTCGGCAGACCAAAATAACAAGGAGCCATTTTTTTTTTTCAATTCGCTCACAACAAAATAAATACGACAAGAGCCGCAATTGCAGCGTGAATACGAGACGGTGGGCCCTTGATAAATAACGCCACGAAAGTAGTCCTTCAAAGAGCCGCATGAAGCTCCGAGGTCGCGGGTTGCCGGCCCCTGGGCTAGCATAACCTGACAGCGTGCACGTTTTATTATCTGCGATAATCTGTTCGTACAACTTGTTATTATTTTAATGGTTGTTGTTGTTAGGATCGCACATTTGCGATGGTGCGATGCTGCAGTGTGTCATCCCCGCTTCAGTAATTTGCAAGTCAAATTTGTCAGTATTTGTGAATGTTTGGTCCAATGATAAAAATTTCTTTTTAAGCTTTTAGCTATGGGAGGAAAGACCGGGGCACTCAGAGGGAACCCACGTCGAACAGGTTGAGAACGTACAAGCTCCACACGCAATGGCACCCGAGTCAGGAAGCGAATCCAGGTGCTTGTTGCTGTGAGGCTCGACTATTAACAATGCGTTGCCACCCTTTTAAAGACAGTGGCCGCCCAGTCATCACCTCCTTTCCATCCCCGCACCTCCGATTAGCAAGGTCGGCTACGTGCAGTGCGAAAGAAATTCAACGTACGTACATACATACTCCCGAAGGCTGGAAACCCCCAGCACAAGCCACACCCAGTTTTACTTGGCTGATTGTGTCAATGATGTCACCAAGCCCCGCCCACATCACATTTCATCCAGGTGCACACGTGCCAACAGACGTTACACTTTTCCCCCCCCCAAATGTTATCCGATTAGCCGAGTAATATCATCGGCAATCAGGAGGGTATTTGATTACTCTACTTCATAAAATATAGGACATCCCAACTCGACGGTTGATTTCGCGGCATGTTTATCTTGAGCTGCTCCGCCATCTAGGAGGCGAGCGAATCGTAGAGATTTGCCAAGTCAGCAGATGGCAGTGCATCAAAGGTCGGTTCGTCAACCCCGTCCATAGTGCGCAGTATTCATAACTGGAGAATATTTAATGACGGGGGGTGCGAGGCATGCGGGGACGATGCGGTGGAGCAGGCTCGTTCGTCACCATGCGACCGGTAAAAAGCAGCTTTGGTTGTGAGAAGGCGCACACGTACGTTTACACGCGTCCCTCGCAACAATCCCTGGGGCTGGAGGTGTGGAGTAACAGATGTGAACAATAGAAGTTGTTTCTATCGCTTGGGTCGTACAAACCCATTTCCCACATGCGTCATCACCACCCCCGCTCGGAACCTATTCACCGACACGACCATTCCCGCTCGGATGCGCTCTCAGCCTGGTTTCTGCCAGGCAGAAATATTTAGTGACGGAAATTCCACATTTATATGGCAGGGGTCACTCTCACCGTAGGAGAAAATTTCCACGAAGCGCTCGTCATTTTATATCCACCAGGGATGCACGGATGGTTCGAGTTGGTCCCCGATGGGCAATTGATCTTGTCGCCGGTGTGAACGCAAAGGCGTTCCACGCAACCACAATCAACAACGATTATCGCCGCACATCACGCGAGAACATGCCAAGTAACACCGACCCAAACATTCCCATGAACTCCGCCTGAACGGCGCACGTCACGGGAACTTTCCTGAAAACTGTTGTCTCCATGAGGACCGAGTGCAAACAGCTGTGGAGCATTTGTACCGATGTTCGGCGAAATGTGAACACTCCTTGGCAGAGGCCAGCATTCTCCAATGCCGGTGGGGAGGTCCCCCACGACTACGAGCAGTGGGGGAGGTGAAATGCTCCGTTAACCCCTTCTCCCCGTTCCAAGACGTCCTGCAGGCTGTGGGGGGGGGGGGGGGGGGGGGGGGGGGGTGTGTCCCCGTCCACCGCTGAATCTCGGGAAGGTGCAAGAGGCCCGGCTCAGCGCCGCTGTTTTTAAAGACGTCGTTACTCACCACGGAGAAGCGTTGCGACACGACCGCGGCAAACTCTGCGACAGCCGGCGCCAAACTTTGCCACACGCCCTGCCCGCGTGGCCTTGTGAGGGAGCCTCAGTACTGACTTTACCGAAAGAACCAAAGAGTATGGATCCTTGCAGTAACGAAAACTTCAAATCCAGAACTGACGAAGTCATTTCATTTCAGTTTTCACTCCGGCGTGACGTGCACGCGCACGTCGTCGGAAACGGAATCGGAAGAGACAAACCGATGACGTGCACGCACGCCACCACTATTTACCGTGCACGCGTAACGTCGTCGGAAGGGCAAAGGGTGACGTGAACCAGGCTCGTCCCTCTCAGCTCCACCGCCTGAGCAACGGCGCTGCCGTGACGCGCACGGCTCACACCCAAAGTGTGCTTTGAACGCATTGTCGAGCGGCGTGAATTTTACGTGAGCCGCGAACCGTACTCTCCGGATATATAAGACGCTCCGGAAAATTATGACGCAACGCCACCACTCCACCTCACCGCCCCCTCATACTGGGGAAGCGAGAATCGAGGTGTAAAATGTAAAGTTGTGCAATCTAGATTGGACGCTGGCGGAAGAAAATTACCGTGGTTTATAAAGTGGGACCATACGGTACTAAAACGGAGTGCAGCATTCCACAAGACGGTGATGAATGCTCCGCTTTGTATATGAGGAGAGACGGTTTATGGAAGATTATTACAGACAGACTGCTTAAAACACATCTGGAGCTATGTACTTTCAAATCTCGATTGAAAACTCACGTCTTTAAAACCGCTTTGTGCGTTTAGTTTGTTGTCCTTTCCACCGCACCTCCGATGAGCACGGGTGACTATGTACGGTGTGAAAGAAGTTCAACATAAACACATAACATGGGGAGAGATAGTTTCTTCTGGCAGGCTGGTGGCAGTTCCCCCTGACTGGTAATGTACTTGGTAGACTGAAATTCGGCCACGTGGTAGATTTAGGCTAAAATTATTGCCATTTAGCCTCTGCCGTCTTCCGGATTATAAGACGAACCACCCAGTGTCTGTCTCTACAACATTGGAACCTCCTTTGCCAGTAGAAAAATATGATCATTGGTTTTTTACCCTTTTATCTGGCAACAAAACTGACACTTTTTTTACAAGGAGTCATGTTTGCATTGACCACAATACCTGCGGTCGGAATACAAACAAAAAACACAACTCTGATAATGTATACACCGTCCTTGAAATTGATTGGTCCACACCCGAGACAGCTTTGCTTAGAGCCTAGTCTCACATGGTGTTGGACCAGATGACGCCAAAAGGCGCAAAACTCAAAGACAATGCACCATCAGAGTATGAGAGCTCGTGTCAGTTTTGTTGCCAGATAAAAGGGTTAAAAAAACAATTATCACCCAGTGTCTTTATAAACCAGAGAATACGCTAACCAACAAAACCCCGCTCACATTGGTACACACCGAGGCAGGCGGGGAGACACGAGCAAATAGCGAGGGCAAATGATGAAGCCGTGAAATGAGGCCACGTGGGACTGGGAGGGATCGCGCAGCTCCTGGGAAAGACGTAAAAGAACACGGCGCCCCACAATTGTTAGGCCCTCGTCCAGCGGTGAACTGGTAACGGACGGCTACGGTTGCGCACAGAGCCAATTTGTTCAGAGTTAAATCGTCCGCGATTACTGTTATTATAATGTCCCTTGTTAATCAAGAAACGGTTCACCAAGTCTC